AAATTGAATCCATTAAGTCTGAAGTCCATTAGATTGAGGTTTACTGTATACCAACTTTAGCATGTTTCTTTGGTCTTTCTTCCATTCCTGCTTCTTCAAACTACTGCTGCCCACAGCCCAAAATGACCTAATCTGAAGGCTACTGTTAATTTATTTACCTGGGACATTTAGCTGACATTTGACTATGGAGACAAGTCATCCAAATCACACAAAAGGATCAAAATAGGAGAAACTAGAACAAAGCAGAGAGACAGGGCTCCTGGGTGGTGGTAAGAGAATGTCCTCACAGTAGACAGGCTAATCCTGAGGCAAAAAGGATGAGTTGGGACTCTGCATTGCATCTCCAGCCAGGATATGCTACTTAGACGCTTAAACTGCCCTGGCAGCTGGTGGCCATCTCCATGCTACCGACCAGCAGAAGCAGCAGTTTGTAGAAATGGCAATGTTCTGCCAAGAAAGACCAAGACCCTCCTTAGAAGAACTAAGTAATTAACATACAGACAACTGATTAGTCTAGGCAAAAAAGATGCCTACCCTCAATCTTGGCTCCATGAGGCCACCAAACAGCCATAGCTGAGGAAAGGAGTTAACTTCTACTGGGTCATTAGTTATACAAATATCTCGGGTTTAAGAAAATCCTCATGAACAGAATGCAAATCTATCTTATTTGCCTTTAAAGGTCACACCCAGTCCTTGTGCACAGTTTTTATAACTTAGAGCATCCCAGAACTCAATCTGTGTTCTCATCTTAACTCATCTGCCAGCAAACAGGGACACGTCCACTCAACTTTCCTCAAAGGCTCCTGGAATCCATAGATACATGCTGGCCAGAAATGGACAGAAAGACACATCCTTTACTCAATCCAATAGTATCATCATCTACCCATTTTTCCTTTTGCTGAAATGCAACTTGCCAACTCCCTGGACAGACAGATGAACAGGTTTGCTTCTAAAATTGACACACAGTAGGAAGGCCTGATGTAGTGATTACAGAACTTTTCCCCTTCCAAAGTGTTGAAATGAAGAGAGAAGCTTCAGGAATGCTATTCAGAGAGGCATCTGAGTCAACAGCCTGAGCATGCCACCCGACTTTCTTTTCTGCAGTTTATGTTTGGCTTTCTACCTGCCAGGCACTGGTGACTCTGAACACTGGATTCAGGGGCTAGTGGTAATCAAACAAACTTTTTTCTTCTTCTTACTGATCGCCAGTAAGAACCTGGAATCAGCAGGTTGATATTCTAAGCTCAGCCTCTGTAAGCACACTTAAATCCAACAGCAAGTAATTATGAACCTCGGCAATAGACTGGCCAGTGATTCCTCCACCACAGTAGACAAGTGAGTCTTTCCATTGAGCACAGATCTGCAGTGACCCCCCACACGCTAGCTCTCACTAAGTGTGTGTTTTGTGTTTCCGGTCTACCCCCCAGAGCTAGGATAGGCCTCTCCCAAAGCCTGGGTGCACCCCAACCCTGTCAGCACTAAGGAACCAGCGCAGCTCCCCCCGGAGCAGGCCACACACCTGCTTCTCAGCTACCTGCCAGCACAGCCTCGCCTCCCTCACATACTCTGTCACCTCAGCCAACCATGAGAAGGACAGTTCACAGTTCCTGAGTACTAACTATGTGCCAGGTACTACTCAAAGCACTTCAGTGTATTAACTAATTCCCAAGCCCCATAACAATTTGCTGGAGGGAGAGAAATTCTTTGGTCCAGATTCCCACAAGGTTTCTATTCCCTATTTCTAGCTGTGCTGTAAAGCTTACATAACCTAATTTGCATTATGATGCTATTTTAAAAATCCCCAAAGATGACTGCTTCAAGCATCAATGGAAGCTGTTAGCTCCTACCTAAAATGATAATGTGAGAAAGGATATCTATTCTTAAAACTAACTCAACTCAAATTCTTGACTTAAAACTGCCTTTCTGGAAGATGCTATTGGAAAGGAAGGGACTCATTCTTATATAAGAAGTACTAGTTCTGCCGAAACCAGTTTGGCTCAGTGGATAGAGCGACAGCCTGCAGACTGAAAGGTCCCAGGTTCAATTCTGGTCAAGGGCATGTACCCTGATTGCAGGCACATCCCCAGTATGGGGTGTGCAGGAGGCAGCTGATTGATGTTTCTCTCTCCACGATGTTTCTATCTCTCTGTCTGTAAAAAAAAAAAAAAATCAATAAAATATATTTTTAAAAAGTAGTAGTACTAGTTCTATGCTCTGTACATAAGCACTAGAGAGACACATCAACACAGAAACTCACCTCCACGGGAGATACTTTCTTGGCTCCGGGTTCTTATTCATTTACCACCCATTTCCCTTCCAGGCCTCCTGGTAACACTGAGAAATGCATGGTCACCGGGTGGCATGGCCTCAGTACCGGTCTGAATAAAACAGAACCCCTCTTGTTCTGGTGACCATAGAGAGCCACCCTCCCACCACAGCAAGGAGGTACAGGGTTGAGCTCAATGGCAGTTATAGGAGGACCATTCAGAGAGCAGGCTGTTTTTAGCTATAACTATTCTTAATAGCCCTGGTTTTTAGAGCTCTAGATTGCTAGAATTCTAACTGCTAGAAATGGGGTACGGGGAATCTCCCTAGTTCATTCCCTTAACTCACCACTGAAAATTTAGATCCACTGCAGTTATTAATAAGATCCAAGAAACAGGGGAGTAATCATGAATAGTTAGAAGGGTAAAATTCCCCTCGTTTATCATAAGGAGAATATGTGGTACTTGAATTAGCCAGTTTGTTATTTGCTATTATAAAAATTGCTTTAAAAGGACTGGGGTATTCATCATTCATTTCATTCAGTTCCCTTACTTGGAAATATTTAAAATGAGTGAATTTCCATTGGATGCTCATTTTTGTGATGTCAGAGGCCCCATATAATTAATCCTATATAATAAAAGCCTAATATGCTAAGTGTCCAGTCATCCATTCAACCAAAGCACAATATGCTAATGAATGCTAAGGCAATTCAACTGCTTGCTATGATGTGCACTGGCCACCAGGGGGCAGACAGTTGACCGGTAGTTTAGCTTGCTGCTGGGGTCCAGCTGATCAGGACTAAGCGAGACAGGCTGGACATGCCTACGGTTCCTCCCTGGCTGGCCAACCTCCCGTGTCCCTCCCTGGCCCCAATCTTCCACCAGTGGGTTTCCTCCACCTGGCCTGTACCCTGTCACAATCTGGGACCCCTTGGAGGATGTCAGAGAGCCAGTTTTGGCCTGATCCTGCAGGCCAGGCTGAGAGACCCCACTGATGCATGAATTAGTGTACTGGCCCTCTAGTTCATAAATGAACTATTAAATAAGTTAATAATCTTTTGAGATTCCTAGCGTATGATTTGCCTCCCATGCTAGGGTATCTTATAATAGGCCCAATCCATCAATGAGGAGACTTAAAGCACTTCCACTGGGTAGGGCTGTTTGCTGATATCCAGAGAAGGACCTGCCATGTGATGGGCACCCGGCTGCTTAAGCAGAGTCAGCTAGACCTGTATTCAGACAACCTTTTATATATGCAAAAGCCACATTCAACATGCATGCAGGTTCTGTATGGAAAAGAAAGTTGTTCTAGCAACCTTCACGTTAGTAATAAAAAGAAAACTGCTACTTAGAGACAAATATGAAACATAAAATTCATTTTAATCTATATATAAAAACATACCCTTAGCACAGAACATCTGACACATGTGAAATGCATATATGGGACAGACTAAATGAAGCAAACCCTTATTAAAATATTTGGCCTAACCCTCAGATATTTTAAATGAACTCCATGATGGTTGGTTGAATGAGTGGGAAATAAATCATCTAGCTACTTAACCTAGAAAGACAGGTGAGTTGCCTTACATCTATTTGGACAATAGGTATTAACATTTTGAGTCTTACCAAACTTGGGTCTGCAGATAGTTAGCTTAACTCAGTCAATTACATATTTTCCCATAATTACCTTAATATTTTGGTTTTTTTTCATTTTCTATTGCTTTTTTTTTTATGGCTTCTTGCTGCTGTTGTATTACTAATACAGTGTTTCCCAAAGTGTGGTACGCGTACCCCCAGGGGTACGGGAAGAGTTTGGTGGGGATACGCGTTGCACCGGAGTTTGGTGGGGATATTCACTGCACCGGGCCTAGCTGCACCTAATTCTATGTTCTCATGAGTACGAGGGGTACTCAGCGTTATGAAAATTATAGAAGGGGGACACATATGTCAAAAGTTTGGGAAACAATGTATTAGGGCATTCAACATAGATCAGAGATTTTCATTTCTCAGAGAAGTTTTTCTCCTTGAGAAATTGGCACTTCAATCCTCAGCTCGTGAACAGCTACCTATAAATGCATCCTGCCGGCACTGTTGCCAACCTTGCTGCTTATGAAATTCCAGCACTCTGGCCAAAAGTGCCCTGATGTTAAAATCTTCTTAGGTAAACTCTACCACCAAATTCTTTTCTTTAAACAGGTATGTGTGTATAATTCACATATGCTATATTTTAAGTTTCTACACTCATACACTTAACTTAGCAAAAGTGAAATGTCTCTTGAATAGAAAGTAAAACAAGGGTATTAAAACAAACGCTGAAAATAATTATTTTACATTTAGATCATACAATTTTTTAAAGGAAATGTGATGTTATAAGACCTAAGAGATCATATACATCATATATGATTGTAATATATGCATGCATATTGGGTTCGTCCATTTTTAATTACTTTTCTCTTTAATCAGAAAATAAAAGAGCTTACCTTTGTATACTGAGAGCACAGCTTACAGTCACTATATCTCAGCCTATTTTATATAAGTGATATGGCTACGAAGGTCCGAGGAGAACGAGAATAAAGTGAGATAAACGTGCTGAAAACTGCTTAAAAGTATTAACCTGAAATACACAGAGGGTCCAACACCAGTTTTAAAAATACATTAACGAGGTATTCCCAGCTCTTCAATTAATAATGGTGACTGACTGATTTATGATTTTCAAACGTCCACCCAAATTTAAAAAAGAAGAAAAGGTTAATACCAGGACAATCTGTCAGGTTGTGTCCCCTGGGCTAACAGATGGAGAGGACCACAGATGACCTCAGGACTCAGCACTGCACTGCACCAGGCACGGCAGCAAGTCTGCGTGAGGTATGTGGGAAACCACTGGACCATTTCCTTGCACAGGAGATGGGGTGCTCCTGAGCCTGAAGGACCACAGGCTACAGGCCACATCCAGGGCTGGGCACCAGCCTCCATGCAAAGAATATGGCTTCAAGAACCCCTATCTCTGAGAAATTATGATAGCACTAACTGACACAGTCAGGAATGCAACTACCCAATTTATATGCTAAAAAAGTTTAAAAACGGTCAGAAGATATAGCACAGCTCACACACTAATTCTAAATTCTACATTGGTTTGTAAACTCCCTGACAAGAGACTACACTAGGAGGAGTCAAGTACAGATATTGCTAGGTTTCCAAAGAAAGTTTTAGGACAGACACCGTGGCTTTGAGTAAAGTATTGCTCTTCTTTAAAATGTTCAGTCATTGCTTTCCAAAAGAAGGTACCAGAGTGGTGTGTCTGAGAGCTGGAAAGCCTCATGGGTCACATTGCTCTTAAGACCAAGACATAGAAATTGCCATTTCAAGCCAGACAACCTGATGGTTCTAGAAGTCAGAGAAGAAATCTTGAGGGCCCAAGTGAATAATAAATGGTGCGACGCTCAGAGGCTGGCAATAGGGGCTTTCAATGAAAAAACCACCTACAGTGGAGAAAAGAGCAGAGAAGCAAAACTCTATGTTAATTTCACAGAATTTGGTGAAGCCAAGAGCTTCATTTATATTTCTCTGCTCTTTCAGCTGTAAGTGGAATTTTCATTACAAAATGGAAGGGTGGGAAGGGCAAAAGAAGGGGGGACACTTAATTCATTACAAAATTTAAACAGTTGAACTTGCAATGGTTACCACTTCTAACAAAGGACTGACAGCTCTGTTATTTTAAGTAAAGCAGAGAAATGTAAAAGTTCGCAGCAACGGGGCAGGTTTACAACATGGTTAGTAACTTCCAACAAACAAACAAAAAAAAAAGGACTTGGTAGAAACCATTTGAAATGACTGCCATCATGTTGGAAAACAGCACAGCTCCCTTTTCACCATCATACAGGGATCGAGCTATGAAGCTGAGTTAGCTACTTCTAAAGAATTTTCTAAAGAGAAATCTCCAGAGAGATTCCAACTTGGAATGCAAATTTGATGATCAATTTCAAATGACAATACAGCTGCAGCTGCCAATTAATAGTATTCCAAAAACAAAGAGGACTGTTGTAAATATTTAATAAAAATTGGACACTATCAGCCATGCTTTTCCTTTCAGTGATGGCTCTGTTTCATCCATAGGTCAGCAAAACGAATCAATGAAAAATGAAATCTCCCAGCCGAAATGGGCCTCCTGTTTATGTCTAGCCACTAATGCGTAGGATGAGAATGATAAGTTCACAGCTATTTCTAGCAAGTGATGAGGTTTTATTAAAGAATCACCCACCACTAATAAGACAAAAGGTCAAGGAGCAGAAGTAACAAACAAACCACTGTAATAAACAGGTGTCTGAGAAGTGACACGAACATTTGTCTTAAATCGCCGTTTCACTCTCATTTAGTGGTCCCAAAGAATCTGGCACATCAATTTGCCATATTTTGTGAAGCCCATTCTCATTGATGGGCAGTGTTCCACTCTGAAAAACAGAATTTATGAGGGAAGAAGAAAGCTATTTCATACTAAAAACAGACATTGTTAAGACACAGGAACTTGTAAGTAGCAACATGGGACCACACTCTTGCCTCCATGGGGGTGAGTACCTTAATGAAACCATTACCTTACAGTAACATCATAGGCTTTCCAAACAAGGTGAGAATGCAAGTGGAAGACTTAAGTCTGCACCTTTTACAGAACAGCACAATGATACCATCATCATTTGTCACCAGCTTAACCAGGTGTCTTAAAAATAAATGCTGACCCATGGCTGAAACCTGTCACTTTTCACAGCAGCACTCAACAAGAACTGGGACAATCGAAGAGCAAGTTTTTATGGGGACCCTGTTGCTGCTTTAGATTCTGATGTAATTGAAGAGGAAAAGAAGACCCTTCAATGAATCCCAGAAAAATTGCTGATCTTCTATCTGCATGAAAAGTCAGGGAGTGAACACAGTATCTTACAGAGTGAAGAAGGCCACAAGAACAAGAGAGGGTGACTGATCAATTAATTTATTATTTTTTTAAACTTGGGAATTCTGAAACTAAAATGATCCTATTCCTCCTGGCCCATCTCTGGGTGCCATCATTTTGATAAGCAATGCTCAGGGAACAGCACCCGGATCATGGGGAAGCCCCTGTACACAGGCACAAAGGGCTCACAAAGTAAGGAGACTGGCTCGGACTCACAACCACCTTGGTTTTAGTTTAGCAGTTTGCTTACAAATGGATGGGTTTCTAGGGCTAAGTTATTATTAGTTTTCAATTCCTTATAATTTTATACCAAAACATATAAAAAATAATAAGCTAAAACAATATTCAAACCCATATTTTATTGGCTTTAATTACACACTTCAATATTTACAAGGTAAAATGAAAAGTCTATTGTATTAAAAAAATTACTACAGCCCAACTTAAAGTGCCCGGGGGCAGATACATGTCAATCAGCTAGAATCAGTGGCTATGTCAGGAACCAGGCAGTACTCTGGGGTACAACAAAGCAGTTTATTTGTGATCAGTGTTTGAGACTATACATCCTTCACAAATTTAATTTTACATAATCTGATACTCTTCTTAAACTTTGAACTGCTAGACTTATTTCCCTACAACAGAAGGGCTGGTATAAGTTATTTTCCAGAAATGAGGTACCGTTTCACAGAACTAGTTTCTTTTTTTGTTTGTTTTCAAGTTTTAGAGAACTAAATTTGCATTTGTTAAAATCAAAAAGTAGGAAAGATGTTCTTTACAAATAATTTTGATCAAGTATGTGTTCGAAGAAAGCAGGATAAAAAGGCTTTGTTTCTAACATTCTGTATCGTACTGTATTGTTGTTCAATAGGAATTAGCTTCTGTCATTTGCTAAAAGAATGAGTAGTGGGGAACAGGATATGTTGGGAATTTCATAACGGGTAACAGAACCATTCTCTTGGGTAAACCTACAGAGAAAAGAAACGGAAAGGACTCCAAATAAGTTTGATAATCCAATAAAAGTTCCAGGTTAAAAAAATCTTACAATTATCATCATTAACCTTTTCCAGATTAGTCAGTCAACATGCACCATTTTGGAAGAGGCCCACAAATTAAATTGCTTTAATATTTTGATAATATTTTCCACTCCAAATTAAGATGGCTAAGTCACAGGAAGAATGATATTCAGAAGGCGATTTCATGAATGAACTGCCATGAATGCTAAAGATCAAAGGCAATGCCACTGGTTAATATTCTAAAGTGATTCTAAAAATCCATATTGGTTCTCCATTTGGCAAATCACATTTTATAGGAGAAACATGGATTGTCAACATTCAAAGCACATTATTCTCTGCAGGCCTGAGGTCCCAGAAAGACAGCTCCAAGTGGAGTTGGAACAAGGGGCTTTAGCTTGTTCATGGCTATTGCCAATATTGGCATGGCAAATCTGGAAAGATTAATAATTGCTTTCTTAATTTTATAATTAATGAGTTCTTGTGGCCTCACAAACTTCTGCATACTCAAGCATGATTTGAAATCTGCTCCTATTTCTATGCTAATCTTTAAACGATGAAGAAATCACAAAGCAGCAACAGCAGGTATTCAAGAGCACCAGATGATCAGAGGGAAATTACCCCACATGCAACAGCTTTACAAAGGCCAAAAGACATTTTTACCTTACAGCCAAAATAAAGCATCATTTTTAGTAGGTTGGCATAACAGTAACATTTAAAAACAAATCTTTTATGTGAAAAATGGGGGCATCAAATTTCACCAGCTTTGGAAGTCAGTTATATGGCACATGGAGGAGAAGAGACTTCTGCAGTGGGGCTCAGATGCCACAGGGTAAAAGTATAATGTTAGAGAAAGGGGAGGAACGAGAAAGAAAAATTAAAAATACTGAGGAAAACGTGAATGCAGCTTAGAGCCTAGATATAAAAGAGTTTTAAAGGGAAAAACAGATCTATAGCAAACCTTACAAAGAATGTGAGACTGGGACTAAAAGAAAGACACAGAAGAAGACCTGCCCTAGGAGGCAGCTGCTCTGTGGCTCAGACACGTTACAGTGAGGCTTGTGTCAGACGTGTCCGATACACTGGGCAGACCCAACTCACAGGAAGAGGGCAGTGGTCAGGATATCCAGAATCAAAAGGAGCTGGACAGTTTGACTTCAGAAGCAATTCTGGGTGAAAGCACTCTCTTAAATGAATCTCCACTTCCTTCTCACCCGATCTGAGGACAAGGGAATCTGGGTGAGCCTTGACCCAACCAGAGTGTGCCAGAGGGGACACTCAGGTAAAGGGAGTAACTCCAGACTCTGCACTTGGCCTTGGAGAAACTCACCCCACACATTTGACCCTTGTAGCTTCTGCACATCTTTCCAGGATATAATTGTCTACCTTAATGGGGAAAGAGGTCAAATTGTTCACTTTCTACTTATTTCCAGTTATGAAACAGATGAAGCTTCAATTTAGCAGTCTAAAGGACCCATAATTTTCCTCCAAACAAAAATGGAAAAGCTGATGCATGAAGAGAGAAAGTATAATGAAAGGCCTTGAGGCTCATGGAGAGGACAAAAGGCCAAGCAGCCGTACACTCGGGTCTTCCCCATTCGTGAACGTGCGTGCCCTGCAGGGGCTGCACAGAGACACACACTCACACGCTCTCTCACAAGCATACACACTTGCTCCTTTCTTCTCTCAATGACAAACATCCTGCAGATGGCTGATTCTAGAACATGTAGCACCTGAGTTAGGAAAAATGTCTAAGAGCATATCACTGACTCCAAACCTATTGCCTCCATTGCCACATAAACCTCATTCAAAAGTTATCCAAAGGGCCACTGAGGTTCACTTCTGCATTTGCTTTTACTTTTTATTTTTGGAGGGAGAGGGGACACTCTGGGATTTTCTGACTTGTACTACAGACATTCTGCAGCAAACACATAAGTAACACTGCTGGTGACGCCCATCACCTCTCTAGGACCTGTTGACTCCACCTCTAAAGCAGGTTTGGAAAGAGGTGATGGCTACAAATTTGAAGTGAGCAGTTCTTATCCCTAACTTCAATCACCCACAGTTCAGTTTCCAACCAGAAACTTAAGTATAGCTACATAACTGGCAGGCAGCCAAGCTAGAAACTGCATATGGCCCTTCAGTAGCCTTTGAATGGAGTATAAGTTGGCTGTAAGAACTACTTAAAATACTTAATTTCAGTATGGTCAGAAACAGGCAATTAGAAACAAGCAGTCCTTCAATCAGGCAAAGCGAGAGAAGAGCAACTCCAACCAAACCCAGAACCACAAGGTTGTGGCATTTTCAAAGGGAATTTAAGTTGGGTCACTAGAATGAATAGGTCTGAGATCCTCCAATTCATTGAAAGAAACCCTAGATACAAACTGTGCTTGGGATTGCTGTGACAGAGTCGCTAATAGGAGAAACCAGTAAGATGGTGTACATACCATAGGCAGGGGCAGCTGTGCTGTAGCCATATGGTGTTCCATAGCCTGGTGCAAAGAAGAGAGAGCAGATCAGTCCAGGACAAAGGGCAGCTGGTACCGGTCCAATTCACAAGTACCACTGGGTCCAGCTTTGTGGGCTCTGAGGACTTCATCCAGATGCTGGGTGGATGAGGACCATTCTCAGACAGGCTCTAGTCTACCGATCCCTTCAGGCCTGCTGAGAGTGGAAACTTTCTATGTGGTCCACAGGCTCCCCTGACCCTCCAGAACAGCTGGTCTCCACCTCGCTATGCTTACCATGCTACTACAATTGTCAACTCGTTGTCTGTGTTTCCCAAGGGAGAGACAGACACTGCATCGCCTGAATCTAGCAGAATGTAGTAACCACTGGCTAAATATAGTATGTTGAACAAAGGAATACTCAGAACTACTCAAGTGACCAATTTCTCAGAGCTGGAAAACAGACCTCTTCAAGTCTCTTTCCAGAAAGCAAGTGACAGAGCAGGCTGGAGCCTCAACTGCCATTAAGGAGGGCACACAGGTCAGGCTGTGTGGGCTTGATGGCAAAGTCCGTATCTTGCTGCTCTCTGAATTCCTGGCCCCAGTATAGGGTCTCTCAGTAAATAGTGGTGCAACTGACATTAACATCTGGTGCCTATGAGAAAAGGCTCATATTGTCAATAAAAACAAATACAAAGAATACAGAAGATTTTGAACCAGTTAGTTCTGGCACAAGTTTCTTATATGTTCTTAGACATATAATTCTTAGTTGCCGTTTTCTCATCTTTAAAATGGAAAACATTCCAAGCTACTTTTTAGTGTTGTAGGGATTAGAAACAGAAGCTACAATCTAATTTTTCAGTAAAACAACTTTAAAAAATATAAATACTAAATCACTTGGGAAAGTTTCTAGGAAAAAATTGTTTCTAAAATAGGACAAGGGCATGGAATGTACATGCCCTTCACAATTTACTCACAACAAAGCAAGCACTTTTACATTACAACCCCTCTCTCTGCTCCGCTAATGACCAGCTGCAACTCGTCATTTAGATGAGGACCAAACATCACCTCCTCTGTGAAGTCTCCCACTCCTTTCCCACTCAGGTTACAGCTTGCACCGCACTGCATGGTGTTTACTCAATGTCTGTTCCTCCTCCCACCAGACCCCAAGCATTCACTAGGGCAGACATGAAGTCTTGGTCTTCTTTGAATAACCAGTGCCAAATCTTCTGTTTGAGACAAAACACTCAAATGTGCACTGAACAAGTACTAAACTGCTTTTAGGGACTAATTGAAACATTTCCTGATAGATACATTTTTTTTCACTTTTTAGTCTATACTTCAGTCATATAAAACTAGGGATAGTACAACACAGTCTCAATCTTAATCTCTGATGCTCAATCGTTATTTTAAGTGGACATAATAATAAGCAGTAGGAACAATATCAGAGGTCAAAAGAGAAATTAATGCTTTAAAAAGTGCGTTGTGCATGAAATCCAGGAAAAGGCAGCTGTTTGGCTAAGACTATAGTTTCAAGGATTTTACCAAGACCTCCTTAGAGAGAAATGAGGATATATTGCTAAGCTGGCCACTGAGCAAACCATTGGGGCTCTAATCCTGATTTCAACTCTCACTAGCAAGGTGACTTTGAATTGTACCTGTTATTTAACCTCTCTGAACATCATAGTCTACTTCAGTAATTGAGTTGGCAGTGAAATGTAATTAAATAATATACGTAAAAATACTAACTACAGTCCCTGCTGCGCAGCATGTACTCCACAAATGGCATATCACCCATTCATACTTAAACCAGCCTCATTTGAGTTTTCTCTAGGCTAAGAGAACTTCATTTTTAAAAACTTCAGGAGACTGGCCTTTCACAGAGGTCAATGTGATGACAAGCTGCTACAGAGCAGACACACCTGGCAACAGCAGATTATTGCCACTAGACAGACGATGGCTGCTTACTGCTCAAACAGGAGGCAAATGTTCAAGACTAAGCAACCATAGACACAAATGGATCGAGTCCCAATGGAACATGTAACCAAAGGCAAGAAAGCTAATCTCAATAACTTGCCTATTGTTGTGAAGTGAAAGTTGCTTCCTTTCAACAATGCAATAAGGCAAAAATTTCAGTTGAAATAGCGAGATGCACAGAAGAATGTCTTAATTTGTACAGATTGTACCAAACTATGACTATCCTTTCTCCCATGTCCCTAACATGCATTTTTCAGTGTTCTCCGTCTCCTTGAATGGCACAATTATCCAGTCTAATTCCTTCAGCTTAAAATCCTAGGAGATATCCTGGAAATTCATTCTTTTTCATTCTTCATTTTAAATCCATGAATCCATCAACCTATTCACTTCCTGCCACCCATTTACTTCCTTATACACACTAGAGACATTCCCATTGTTTCTTGCCTGGGCTACTAGTTTATAAAAACCTTAACTTGTCTTGTCATGCCCACTTCTGTTCCTACAATATTCTTCACACAATAGAATGACCTGGAAAAAGAAAATCTGATCTTGTCATTTCACTTCTTAGAATCCTTCACGACACACCACTGCACTTAGGATTCTAAGAACAGATTCCAAACCACGGTGTCCAGGGCTGGGCCTGAGCATCCAGCCTTAGCTCAACTCACTCCCCACCCCAAGAATCTCCACATTATATCCTGACCTTCCAAACCTTCAACTGAGCCAAGTTCCCTACCACCAGGACCACAAGGTCTCTGCACATGCTTTCTTCTGTGTGAAACTTCCACCTCACACTCCTCCCCAAGTTAACTCCTCCTCATTCTTCAAAGCTCAGTTCAAGTGTTACTTCTTCCAGGAAGCCTTCAGGGACCCAATAGACTAGAGCAGTTTTCTATTACATCCTCTTATAGCATCATGCCTTTCTCTGTCATCGAATCATCTGTCTATAACAGTGACTATTTGATTAGTTATGCCTCACTTTTAGAGTAACTGAACTATTGTGTATATGACAAATATCTGAGCTATGCCCCTACTGGGATCAACTTCTAGAAGGTAGAATTGCCAAATTCAATTATCCATACATCTTCCCAAATAATCTATTCCAATTCTTTCTTCAGAAAAAACCACCATCTATGCAAACTTAAAAAATGACTGCATAAAAAAACCCTATATTTATGACAATTTCATCTTGAGCAACAACTACAAGCAGTTTACGTGTCAAGTTAAAAGTTCCATACTTTCAATATTGCAGAGAACTTGATTTTAAAGGAACATGTGTATCTACCATTAAAATGACATATGGTTTAGAACAGGCAAGGAGATGGCACTTTTATCCTCTCTCTCAAGCCATGTGGTAAAATGGGAAAGAGAAACCTTGGAATTACAAACATCTATATTCAACTCTTTGCTTCACCTTATCTCCCTGAATCTACTTTCCTCATCTGGAAAATGGAAATAATTTCCATGTGAGGAAACATGCGAAGATTAGAAACAACTAGGTGAAACCCCTTATATGAAAGTATCTGGAGCCCTGGTTGGGTAGCTTAGTTGATTAGAGCGTAAACCACGGTTGCGAGTTCGATCCCCATTCAGGGCACACACAAGAATCAACCAATGAATGCATAAATAAGTGGAACAACAAATTAATGTTTTTCTCCATCCCCCTTCCTTTCTGTCTCTAAAATCAATCAATAAAAAAATTTTTTTTTAAAGTATCTGATATATAGTAAGCTCTGGGTAAGTTCCCCTTTTTCTCTTTTTGTGTTTCTTTAGTCTGTGATGGTTCCCAAACATTGAGTTAAGGAAATGCTAATAGTGCCCAGGCTTCACTTCAATTAATCTCTTAGCAGCTATTTTTCTGTCTTCTGTATCCCATTGAATGCACTCTGCTCCTCAGTCTGTGCTACATCTTTTAGCTTCCTCACTGTCAACAAAACATCCCTTCAACTATGTGCAACACTGCTCATCTGCCACTTCCCTCCAGGAAGCCTCTAGTCCACATGTGTCAAACACAAGGCCCGCGGGACAAATCCGTCCCACCAGGCCTTGCAATGTGGCCCGCACCGCGCTGTCATTACTGCACTCCGCTGCGTTTCCATCACAATGACAGTTTATGACTGTTCAGTAAACCATTCGGCCCACGATTTAGGCTGGATTTTAGATTTTGGCCCCTTCTCTGATTGAGTTCGACACCCCTACTCTAGTCACTCGGCAGATTCCGTGAGAAAACCTGTGACATTCTGTAGATTCTCCTTCCAATTTCTGTACACATCCATCCTGCACCCATATTGTATTTCCAGAGACCATGTATAATCCTAGAAAATTAAGAGATGCCATTCCTCTTTGGCCCGAAAAAGGAGGCAGATCTACGGATGGTACTGTACCTGGAGCTATGTAGCCAGGAGCAGCTGCAGCCCCAACGAAAGCTCCTCTTGTTAGAGTCCCTCTTCCTCTGCCCCGAACAGCCTGGACTGCTGCAGACACTGCTGTATTCACAATGCCCTTTGCCTGTTAAAAATAACGCATTGTTATTACTGAGATAAAAACTATTATCCTACTATCTCTTAATAATGTATACCCTCTGAGAAACTTGAGCCTATATATGACAGTCAGTGTATCGCCTATGACCTTAAGCCTTCACTTTATCATCTGTAGAATGAAAATGACACCTACCTTACAGACTTATTCTAGGTAATATGCTAAGTACATAAGAATATGCAAATAACTTCTTTTTACTTGAGGGCTACCCAAAAAGAGTTCATTTTCTACATACAAATTTCAGTATCAAATTACATCCAAATTCAGCTGAGGCCAGACTAGAGTAATTATAGACACTTGATCGAAATTCACTGACTTCTCCGGATAGACATAAAAAACACAACAACAAATCACCTAGAACAAGCTGCAAACCGGAATGGAGGTTTTGTAAAAAAGGACTATGACAGGAAGACAAAAGATGTGGATGCCAGTTTCTGCTCTAAGTTACTAATACCTCAGGAAGGTCATATGATTTCCTTGAGCCTGTCTCTTCTGTTGTGGGTGTATGCATGTACGCACCAATCATTAAATAAATAATGCATGCATATATGCATACATACATACATACCAACTCTAAAATCCTTCCTTGCTCTAAAATGTCTTAGAATCTGCCAAAACCGATTTGGCTCAGTGGATAGAGCATTGGCCTGTGGACTGAAGGGTCCCGGGTTCGATTCCGGTCAAGGGCATGTACCTTGGTTGCGGGCATATCCCCAGTGGGGGGTGTGCAAGAGGCAGCTGATGGATGACTCTCTCTCATCGATGTTTCTAGCTCTTTATCTCTCTCCCTTCCTCTCTGTACAAAATCAATAAAATATATTTAAAAAAATAAATAAATAAAATGTCTTAGAATCTGGTAAAGTTCCATAATCTCTCTCTAGGGGAGTTGCCACAGTAATTGTAAAATAATACCCATTTTGCTCTCCTTACTTCAGAGTACAAACAACAGTTTCGAATTAAGATATAAAACCCTGAAAAGTTGACTAAATCAAGCAGTCACAGCACACAGGGCTGCTAAAACATCCCATTCCAAGACTAAATTTTTTTTAAAAAATCAAGGATATCTAGATTTAAGTTAAATACTATACTTATTTTGTAGTGAAATAATGCAACAAAAACTCAAGCTAGAAACTACTAATATACCCTACTACAAACAAGGAAGGGGGGAGAGGGCAGAGCCTCAAAGCTCACTGTATGATAAAGCCAACAGTATCTCAGAGCACACAACATTTATCTCACATGGAAATACCATCATCCTCTGCTCCTCTTAGGTCAGCCTCTACTGCTAATATAACTGGGCAGAGGCAGTTTCAAGGTTTAATATATCATGCACAGAGAACTTTTTCTTTTTGGCTGAAAAAAAAAACACATCACCCCACACATCCAAAACAGACTGCTTCTTGGCTGTCAAACACATTGAACACAGGAGGTTTATAGCTTCTAGGATGGAAAACCTCTAAAAATGAGTGAACTTCAAGCAAACTTTTTTTTTTTTTTTTTTTTAACACAGCTTATTCAAAAGTAGTCAGGAAGCAACAATCTGGCAATAGCAGAGTGACCTCACACAAATTAAGCTCATTTCTACTAGAACTAAAGTTACCTTAAAAGTCTCTACAAGTAGGCTTTTAAACACAAAAATGAACTGGGCAATTACAAGATGTAAGTCATAGGAAAATGACACCAAAATAGACAAGGTAACAATTATCTTTCTCCAAATTTAAAACATATTCTAGAAGATTTAGGAAAAGAAAATTCATATTCTCTCTACATGTCTTCCTCTGCAATTTAAACTTTATTTTTATTTAATCTCAGTATAAGTTAGTTTTACTTGTTTATATTTTGAATCCTAAGATTTAAGCAATTTATTATAGTAAATAAAAGAAGTTGTACACAAAACAAGTTTTTAAGATATGTTGCTACACACAGTATCTTAATTTCTTGGTATCCTGTTTACTCATCAATAAAATGAGATCAATTCTACCCTCCTATAATAGACCTAGCATATGTAAAAGAAACTGTTTAACACACAATCTTAAATAACCCAAGTTTCCTTCTATTAATATAAGTGTTTTAATTGCTTTTTTCCTATCACATAATATATTCAGATATTATTGCACAGTACCCTCCATGAAGGAGAGACTATGCCATATTTATTTCTGTATCTTTTCCCCTCACAACCATCTACATGTTATGTCTAGAAAATATTTCTTAATGCATTAAAAAAATGATCAGAAGAAACTGTTATCCAAAAGCATGGAATTAGGAGGCCATCTTTTCCAAATACCTTGGTTAAATCCAGGCCTTTGCAGCACTGACATTCCCAATCAACAGAAGAAGCAACACAGGGTCAAGTTCTACTACGCCATCTCCAACAGAAAGCCCAAAATAAATGCTGCAAAAATTCAAAACTGGAGGAAATGGAAGAGCATCTGCAGACCGGTGAAAGTAAGCCCAAGTTATCTTGGCAGCTTCCCTACACCAGACAAATGCTAACATCTCATGGAAGTCCAAATCCCTCAACACTGCACCTCATCAAGAGAGCCCTGAAGCCCCTAAATAATGCTAACATTCTCTTTTCAATATATAATTTGCCTAGGGCAACCACAGAACAGGGACCCACTGACACATTTATATTATTAACGACCTAACCCAGTGGTCGGTCAACAGAGCCAAATATCAACAGTACAACAATTGAAATTTCTTTTGAGAGCCAAATTTTTTAAACTTAAACTTCTTCTAACGCCACTTCTTCAAAATAGACTTGCCCAGGCCATGGTATTTTGTGGAAGAGCCACACTCAAGCGGCCAAAGAGCTGCATGTGGCTTGCGAGCCACAGTTGCCCACCATGGACCTAACCCAAAGAAAAGATTACTAAATCCAAGAAACACAAATAGTTTTTAAAAAGCTAATGTGGCACAAAAACAGAAAAGGAAACTTAATTCTGGTAATATTTTTCAAAGTTATTAATGCTCAACTCATACCTGAGGGATAATCTTCTTTTTCTTATTATTTGCTGCATTGGGTCCAGAAAACAGCTTCTCCAGGGCAGCTAATGCTGCACTCGCCTTTGCCACTTTCTTATTTGGACCTGCACCTCTGAATTTCTGTCCGTCTACTTCTACCTAAAATCAAGAACGACACTTCGCAGTTAGCCCATGCAATTCCTCTATGTAGTTCAATTTAAATAGATCATAACACAGAAAACACCAAAAGTCAAATAGTGCCGCAAGAATAGACTCAGACTACAATTTATTGATATCTGAGGGCAAAACAGGTTGGCTTGCATCTAGGTACACACCTCCATCACAAAGCGCTTGTCATGGCTTCCACCAGTCTCTGAGATGAGTTCATACTTCAGGCCTCTTCTTTTTTCATTGAGCTCCATTACAGGATTTTTGCCACTTGCTGTGAGGATAGGGCCCTGAGTTCTTACCTAAAAGGAAGTACAAGCAAGCAAGATTTCAAAGTATGAAATTTCTTATTATACAACTATACTTTGTCTCTGTTGAAAAAGAGGCTCAAAATTGTATTTTAAAGCATTCAGGAGCTAGTGCATGAGCACCTCCATAGACAAATGACAAAGTATCTATAAAGGTACGAAAAGGAATAAATGTCCCAGGCAGCCAGCCAGTCATCTGAGCACCCTGCCTTTGAAGCAGGGCTGTCCCAATAGATTAGTATTCAAGAGGAATGTAGTCCTGCCATTACATGGTGCTCTCGGGTCTGATTTGTGGTTGTGGTGTTCGTGGTCTAAGAATAATAATCTAAAGGACTAACAAAATAGATACAACTGTTGAGATTCAAATGAGTGTTCACTGTATTTTTTTCATTAGGATTAGGAAAAAATAACTCAATTTAGGAGGTTGGAAAAAAATGCCCATTCAACCTTGCAGTATCTCTAAAGAGATTTAAGGGCACCTAAGGTAAAACAAAACAAACAAAACAGTGGGCTATAAACGATGGATTCTGAAATTTTAAAATAACAATAAAAGTTGTCATTCCCCTGTCCCCAAGGAGCTATAGTGCAGTGGGAGGGACAGATATAATCGCTGTAAAACAATGTATATTACAGAACAGATGTAAGTTCAGGAAACACAATAGAAGGACTCACTTTCTAGGGCCATCAGGATAATTTCCCTGGAAGTGACAATGTGAACCCACCCATAAAAGGGAGCTAAGTGCCAGACCATCCTAAGGAGGAATCAGAGAAGGGCATTCTGGACAGAAGAAACGGCAGGAGGTTCAGTTGAGCTGAATGAAGGGGTGAGAAGAATAATGCAGAACCTCACACTGAAAACACCTCTTCTGGAGCCAGATCATAATCACTGTGTATCAGGCCGCGGGCTTTGCCTGTATCATGGATAATGGAAAGACTGAAAGACTTTCATCGGGAAAGTTCATAATTAGATGTAGGCTGTAAAAATTTACTCTAGGAGTGATAGAAAAAACTGACTTTAAAAAAAGGTAAGAGTCATGGGAAGAAAAGTAATTCTCATAAGAGTGTGAAGGCTCAAATGGAGAAGTTAGCACCAAAAGTAAAACAAACCGCAAAATACAGTTATGATTTTGAGGAAGACCCAAAGATTGAGGACTTTTTAAGGTTAGAGATCATGTCTATAATTCCACCACAGTAACTGCTCAAGAAATGCTGGAAAAGAAATGAATGCCCAAAAGAATTATTATGTATATAAACCTAATGGTCAGCAAGATTCTCGCTGATTTGGTAAGTGGTTGATGCTGTAGAAGTGAAACATTGAACTCTTTTTAAAGACAAGCTCAATAAACATTTCTGGCCTTTTGAAATAAATATGACTTTTTGAAGAGCTTTTATAATCCACATTTCCAGTCTTCAGCTTTAAAAGGTAATCCTTTTTTAAAACTAGTCTATGGTAATCTCTCTCTGCTTCCCAAATCTGAAATCACTTTTATAAAAACAAGTCAAGATATAAAAATATTTGCATTCTAATCAGTTACTCCTACTTCAACGAAGAATAGGGCTTTGTGTCGCCCCCCATTATTACATCATCCAGAAACAAAGCAGTGATGTATTCACTACCAAAAGCTCCATACACTCGTGACTGCCATTAGTGCAGCCACACTGCCCTCTTCCTTCCCAATTCCCTCCAAACTTAAAGGTCTGAGCCTCATAATTAATGACCTCTTTCTCTCCTTACAATTTCTAAGACTGCCAGCAAAACATCTTGCTCTGGCCCTAACAGGTTTGGCCAGTGGAGAGAGTATCAGCCTGAAGACTGAAGGGTCCTAGTTCAATTCCAGTCAAGGGCATGTACCTTGGTTGTGGGCACATCCCCAGTAGGCAGTGTGCAGGAGGCAGCAACTTGATGTTTCTCTCTCATCGATGTTTCTAACATTCTATTCCTCTCCCTTACTCTCCATAAAAAATCAATGAAATATATTAAAAAACAAAAAACAAAAAACCCATCTTGCTCTGCCTATGACTACCACTTGTGAATGACTGACTGGTCCTCTCAGAAGCCAGGTCCCATGTTTACTGTCCTCCACAACACACAGAAAGTCAGGCATGGTTTTTTACAGGCTTTAGTCCCCATCAGGCCCCTCCTCACTGGCCCACCTGGTAATTCTAAACATTTCCTTTCACAACTCCTTTATACCTACTAGTAGTCCTCTGACCTAGAATGCCTTCTATCTCTTCCCTAAAAAGCCCTACACATTATCTAAAACCTAGCTCACATTTTACTCCCTTTATTTCACATGTGTAAGTTTTAATCATTTCCTATTTGGAGATTTTATATTATATTCATTTTGCAATCACAGAGCTTTATCATAGTACAGTGTAATTAGTTATAAACATGTCTTTTGATCTTCTAACCCGAGGGCATCTTGAGGCTCTGGACACATTTCTTCAGCAACTGTAGTAAGTAGGTACTCCTTAATAAATACGCAGTCATAGAAATGACCAATTTTAAATGATAATGTAAGCTATTGCTGTTATTTGAAAGCCAATTTTCCTTATGAATTCCCAAATATGCTGTGAATATATTGCTTGGATTCTGTCCCATTCTGGTGTCTGTGGTCATAAGCTCATAGGCCAGGACTTTCCCAGAGTCTGAGGAACATAGTAGGTCAAGCTATATGTCTTTCTCAGAGTGAATCCAACTCAATGATGACCCACTGCTCTCAGCTTAGCACAACTTCAAATAATCCTAAATTTCTTCCACTAGATCTTCTGTTTCTTTGCTCTACAGTTATTGTTAATATACTTGTAAAATGCAGCAAAAGGGAAATACTAGTTAAACATGTTGTACAGTACACAATACATGTACAGATTTTTTTTTTTAAATCCTCACCTGAGGATATGTTTTTACTGATTTTTTTTTTTTTTTTTTTTTTTTTTTCCCCCAGAGAGAGAGAGGAAAGGAGAGAGAGAAAGAAACATGATTGTATGAGAGAAACATCTAATGGCTGTTTCCTGTATGTGCCCCCATGGGGGATGGAACCTGCAACTCAGACTCTGCCTGACCAGGATCCAACCAGTAAGCTTTGATGCACGGGACAATGCTACCACCATCTGAGCAAAACCAGCCAGGGCCTTTTACAAATACTTTAAGAATTAAGAGGGAAAAACAAGATGTAAAACTGTATAAAAATACCCTCACAAAAATACTTACAGAGCCATGGCCAGTGTTACTCAATGATTAGTGCCAGCCTGTGCAGCAAAGGGTTGAGGGTTCAATTCCTGGGCAAGGGCATCTACCTGGGTTGCAGGTTAAATGCCCTGCCCAGCTGGGATGCGTGTGATAGGCAACCAATTCATTTGTCTGTCTCATATCAATATTTCTCTCTCACATTGATGTTTCTCTTTCTGTCTCTCCCTCCTCCCTCCACACTTAAAAAGAAAAGAAAAAATACCAAGTGAGAATTAAAATGAAAATAAAAATTATTAAAAAAAAAAGGCTGGATGAAAATAAACCAAAATATTAATAATACTTGCCTTTGGAATATATCCATTTATATATACTTTTGATTTTTATTTATATTTTTCCATAGCTCTCAAGTTTTCTAAAATGAATTTTTTTTTTCTAAGGAAAATAATGTATAAATATACCTCTAAGGTACTGGAGGTTTCAGTTGTAGAATTTCCAGTATTATTGCTTGAATTTGAAGACACTGTTTCATTTTTGCTTTCATTATCTGATTTTTCATCGGAACTCATACATTCAATATCTGCATCAAACCCTGTTGGGTATCCCATTGCCTGCAATACCTGTACAAATTACATTAAGATTCAGTGTTATTCAAACAACAGGAACCACAAATAATAGATGAAATATTAAAGACAACAGTTTCAAATCCACAACATTTGAATCTATTATCTACCTTGTAGGAAGAGCAAGATAGTACTATATGTGTATACAAATCCTTGGTTTCACCCACCAGGATATCACCATAAAAATGAAAAAAGCCTCCATAGAGTAATTAGATTTAAATAAAGGATGATGGAAATGAAAACCTGAGGTTGCTCATTTAATTTAGAGGTAAGAGATAAGAGAAAATAGCCAAGTTCAACCAATGAGGTGAGGAGAGAAGTAAAACTGTACATTGGACTAGAAAGGAAAAGACAGGAGGGTCTAATCCTGTATTTCCCCTCTGGTCCTCAATTTTCCAATACAAGCCTGGAAGACTCTAAATTCTATGATTCGACCCAGTAGGAGAAATTAGCACAAAAAGGCCATCAAGAAGCTTTGTTTACCTTGAAATCAATTTTCCAGGCAATTACAAAATAACATCTGAAGCTTTCTCCTATTGGCCTCTTTGCTTTTAACTAAAACCATAAGTCAGACCTGAGACCTCAGTCTATAGGTTTAGTCTCTGTAAGAAGTGAACCAGGAAAATTTCAGGTTTCCCTTCCTCACAAGAACTGGTTATGGCTTGGCTTCCTTCAATGTTCATTCTTCTATAGTTCCAGTCAAGCTTGGAATTTCTTATCTTTCATAAAATAAGGTTTTCAGAGCCCTATGTGTTTGCGTACACACACACACACACACACACACACACACACACACACGCCTTTTAAAACCTCCTTCCAGATGACACTGCTTTTCAGTTTACAAGAGAAATACGTTCACCAGGACTTGTATAAGCCTCTTTTAAACAGGTTTATATTGGACTGTCTGTTACTAATTTATAGGTTTATATCAGAAAATAGAGAGGTTCCTAAAGATCCCGCTGTATTTATTTTAGTTTTTGACTAATGTTTTAAGTTGCTGTACTGTAAAAGCACATTATATTTCTTTACAATCCCAGCTATACATAGCAGGTGTCTCTCTCAAAAAAAAAAAAAAAAAAAAAACTATTCTGAAAACTGATTAGAGGATGCCAGGGAGTAGAGACGTGGCAAAGGAGATCCATTACTATGGGACATCAGAGGACTTTTGGGCGAGAGAAAATATTTTATATCTTGACAGAGGTGGTGGTTACATGATTATAAACCATAATATCAATAAATGATTAACTTTCCTGCATATAAATAACTCAATTAAGTTGGCTTTAAAAAGATCATAAATAAAAAATAAACGATTCTGATAATCACACAAATGATCAGCCAGGCAGCCCAGCCTTTATAAGCAATGCCAACTTATATGACGGATTACCCATATAAATAAGGTAGTATCACTCTAAACAAAAAAACAAAACAAAAAAAAGAGCATAAGAACTCTTTATAAGAGAACTTGAAATTAATTTACCCAATTCACATGGAAATTCTGGCATTCTGTTGAACATTTGAAATCACATATAAATTGCTTGTATTAATTGGGAATAAAGCCATAATCTCCCAACCTTTTTTTTTTTTTTAACATCTTGAGTTCTATAAGTAGTCAGGTAGCCCTTGACTCTGAGCACACACTCAAATCATATGGTTACAACCTCATCAATCCACTGAGTCCTGCAAATGAATATATTCTTCCTGAGAAATCACATCCCTGAGAGAACAGTTACTAGCCTGGAATTAACACTAGCTAACAAGCTGCAAGTCAAAAGCCAGAGTCAGTCACAAGTAAATTTGACCTGTTCATTCCAATAAAAACTAGATAAGACATGCAGTTTCGCCCCATTTAAAACAGGTAGTTAAAATAGCCTCATGTAAATTACTTAGCACGTCTCTGCCCTTTCTCACATATCAAATTCATTTACTTTACCTCTTATTATAGCAAATTATTTCAATACATTCATAAATTGTTTATATAACTAATAGATAATACCAAGGGATACAGAATACTTGCAATGCAGCTCAACTGACAAAATTTTCAAGTTAAGTAATTTTCTATGAATACAAAATTCAAAGATGATTAACTGGTATATGCTATAAAAGTAAACAAAAAAGTGAAGTCTTCAGACTTCTGGAATGACAGTTTGTTTGAAATGAAAATTAAGACTAAAAATTTGCCTTAATTACATGAGGCTAAAAATTTGCTATACCAAAGAAAGGTGGGTTTCAATTGTCTAACTAACAAATCCAACCTAATAAACACATCAAATGAGCTGAAATTCACAAGATGAGTCCTGGAAATAAGGTGACTGGGAAGTCTAGTGTAACCATGCCTTTTTTTTCTCATGATAGGGGGTTAAAACTGAGAAAGATGACACCTTAAAAGACTAGAGACCAAGAGTGAAAACACATAAAAACACATTCTACCCCATGGCTCTCCAGTCAAAACAAAGTCACATTCATGGCTTCTATCTGATAGAGATCTGATAGCTCCAAGAACCTCTCCAAAGAGTCTTCACTTTGTGTCCCCTTCTAACTGATCTTTTTTCCAATGAATAAGATTCTTTCCATGAAATATGGCTGCTTTTGTCCCTACAGGTGTTATCTGTGAGGGATTCTAAGAAGAAATAACTGGAAGAGGAAAGGGAAGATTGACCACTGTAGGCTGCCTGTTGTTGAGCAGCCAGGCTCTTGAGGCAGAAACTGATTTCTTCTTTTTTGATTCTATGGTGTGATTTGTCTTAACAGGTACAGAACCATACTAAGCTTATTAAGAAATGCAAGGATTTTCATCAAGTGGAACCTACTTTCACAAATATATACCCAACATTAATAGAAATCTCAATACATATTTAATTAGTAGATCATTCAAATGGGTTTCTTCTTGACCGGGTAATTCTACATGTAGGATACATCTTAAAGGATAATAATACTAGTTCAAAAAGATGTAAAGTAATCAAAAGAAAGCATATGTACACTAATAAAAGAGAAATATGTAAATTGACCATCACTTTGCAATGCCCACCAGCCAATTAGGAATGAGTATGCAAATTAGTGGGACAAAGATGGCGGCGGCCATGGAGCCAGCCAGAGCAGGCTTGGGTCACTTCTGGCAACAAAAGAAGCCAAGCTTCCAGCCCACCTGGGCCGGCCACCAAAGGAGGGGCCTGTCGGCGGCGGCCATGGAGCAGGCCTGAGTGCAGGAGGCTTGGGTAGCCCTGGCCAGCCACTGAGGGAGGGGTCTGCAAACAACCCTCAGTCCCTCACCCAGGCTGGCCATGCTCCCATGGGGTGAGGGTCCCCACTGAGGAGCGTGGCCAGCCTGCAAATAGCTAGCAGACCCTCACCCAGGCTGGGCAGGCATCCCAACGGCGACTCCCATCCCATGGGGGCACGGCTGGCCTGCAAACTGCCCCAGCCCCTCTCCCAGGCCAGCACACGTCCTCAGTGGGCACCCACACCCCAATGGGGGCATGGCCAGCCTGCAAACGACAGGCTCCTTGCCAAGCTGCCCCACTCTCCAAGGGAACACCCACCCTGATCCGGGTGTCCCACGTGGACCCAACCTGTGCACCAGGCCTCTATCTATACTAATAAAAGTGTAATATGCTAATTAGACTAGGAGACCTTCAAGGACACCTTCTGGGTGTTCTTCTGGACAAAGCCATGGTGGCGGGGCTGAGGTAGAGGCGGTTAGGAGCCAAGAGTGGACAGCAGTTGTGGGTGATCAGGCTGGTGGAGGGGGTAGGGGGAAGGGAAGATCAGGCTGGTGTAGGGGAGGCAGTTGGGGGTGATCAGGCTGGCAGGCAGAGTGGTTAGGAGCTATCAGGCAGGCAGTCAGGTGAGCTGTTAGGAGCCAGCAGTCCCAGATTGCCAGAGGGCCTAAACTGGCAGTCGGACATCCTTCGAAGGGTCCTAGATTAGAGAGGGTGCAGGCTGGGCTGAAAGACACTCATCCCCCTGTGTATGAATTTTGTGCACCAGGCCACTAGTATATTTAAAAAAGGATTAGTGACATTGCTGTAAAATAGTGGTAATGAAATATTAGGCCATCAGTAAAAATGAGAACAATCTTTATGATAACTATAAAAAAAACTCAATATATTGTTAGATGAACAAAGAAAATATGATCCTATTTTAAGTAGACATTTTGTAGTTCCCATCATTCTTTACCTAAAACACTTGGGGCCAGATTATTTTGAGAATTTATAATTTTTCAGAGTTTAGAAAGCTACTCCAATATATTTACACCGTATATTTTCTAAATCTCCAGTGGTATTTCAGGTGCTAAACCATGTTTGGGCAAAGAAATAGATAAAATATTCACATTAAGTGGAATAATAAAGACTAAAAATAGCCACATATCAATTCTGGTCAGGTTTTTCCATCAAGTGAATTTGCATCAAACTTAGGAAAGTATTTTTCATTTTTAGTGCTTTTTAGATTTTGAAATTGTAGGGGGAGAGGGAAGGGAGGATTTGGAAAAATACATACCAAAATGTTAATGGTTATTATGAGAACAAATATCATCTAAATCTTGTCATATTGCAAAATGTATCACTCTATTAACTTTATTGAATTGCAATTTGCTATGAAACCTCTAGTTTATACAGTATTAAAGGTTGTTACAAAACAACCACAAACTGTATCTCTACATTATAGGTACCTTTTAAAAGATATCATTGATATTCCTTTTACAAAGACTTACCCAAGGAGAATGCCCACTTGATTTTTATACCAGAACAACTGTGACTCTCAATCAACTGTCAGTTATTATGTCATAGACAGTGGATCGAGATTTCACCTGCTTTTGTGTCAGATGCCAGAGAACCTAGGTCTATAATTATGACTCATTCTCAGCATATATAAATTATAGCTAAATTATCAAACTGCATTTTTAGCCGTATTCCTGGCTTCACCTTGTTCCTCATTCTTGGCCTTCTTCTTCTGTTTCATAAACTCATACTATTTCATCATATGAAGTACCCTTTCTATAAAGAAGACAGAACATAAATATTGTTTTATATTATTAAGCTTATTTCTTACTTTTCTGCATTATTCTTATTATTACCTGACATGTAACTTATTCACTTATATATCTGTGATCTGTCTCCCCAACATATCACACCGGAATACAAGCTCCAGGAGGATAAAGACTTTGCTGCCTGCTGTATCCTTAGTTCTAGGATAATGTCTACATTTACATTAATAATACATATTGCGAAATGGAATGATCATGAAAACAGACCAATTATATCTTATGCCAGATGGCTGCATAACAGAACTTCTAAGTGAAAAACTTATCTTCAGTCTACATGACCTTTGAAATTTTCATATATGTTTGCAAGAAGTCAAATGTGCTCTTAGAGGGATTCCAAAATGTAAGAATTTTCTACAAACCTACATGAATGACTAATTGGCTCAATTGTGTATCATATTACCTATGGAAATCCTCTGAAATACAGAAGGGGCACCAGGCACAAAGATAATGATCAAATTTATGACACAAAAAGTCTGCAAATAGCAAAATATCCAATGATAAAGAAATTTTTAAACAAATATTATATCAATATCATGTTACTCATACAAGCATTAAGTATTATTTATGAAGCTTTTAACACAGGGGAAAACATTCAGGACATGTTAAATAAAGAAAATCAGAGGGTAAAATTGGATAAATAAAAAATGTATGTGTATGTGTGTGTGTGTGTGTATATATATATATATATCATCTGTCTCAGAAATATGTAACTAATATTTTTCTTTTTCTTTGTTTTTTTTTCAAGTTTTGTATAATCAACGCATATTTTACAACCAAAAAAAGAATTTTGTGACCAGAGATCACAAAACTCTTTATATTATTAAAATCTAAAAAAAAGTTCTGATAATTTATTATAGGAAAATAACCACCATATTTACAAATAGCAAAGCACTAGTAAGTTAAGACATACAGTACCTTCACTGCTACATGAAGCTTTGCTGTTTTCTTGGATGGTCCCGAGGCTTCGTATGTTGTACCATCCACATCTACAGACATTGTGAAGACTGGGGCATGGACAGGGCCAGACTGAGATAAGAGCTTATACTGAAGCCCAGGCCTGATCTGATTTAGCCTCATTAGCGCATTCATAAGATCTATTGCTTTACTATCCAGAACTGTTAAAGAAAAAGGAGATCAGATATTAAGCCATTTTGTCTTAATCTATGCATTTGTAGGTTCCTAGTGATCACTATAAATTTATCAAAATTTTTAAAACAAAAATTTTAAAACACATACAAATAATCTCATCCTATATAATACTATAGAATAAAAAGGTAATATGGAGAGAAACCAAGATGGCAGCATAGGTAAACACCTAAACTGCTGCCTCACACAACAATTTCAAAACTATTTTCAACAATTTCAAAAGACAAAACAGACCATCATCCAAGAACCACGGGAAGGCTGTCTGAGTGGAAATTCTACAACTAGAAGGAAAGAGAAAAGTACACTGAGACTCAGAGGAACTGCGCAGAAGGTAGAGGTACTGAGGCGCACGGGTGTGGGCAACTGAGTATGGGGCTGGCTTTCTCAATCAGGAGGGAGATCAAAGCTCCTGACTGCTCTGAACTCCAGTTCCAGGCGAGACTGTGGGGACCCAGACTTATTTGGGGAGAAAGTGGACTGTCTAGCAGTGGGTGAAATTTGAGGGTGGCTTTCTCTCAGAGGTGCTTGTAGCAATTACCATGGGACACTGAGACCCAGGGGCCTTTTAGGGCAGGGTTGATGGGAAGCCATTGCTGTCTACTCCACCCTGAGACTCTGCCCCATCCAAACTGAGCACAGAGGCTTTTTCAAGTCTTGTCTCATAAGGGTGTCTCTAGCACAGAAGTTCTCCCAGCGTAGACACAGCTGATCCTCACAGCCAATTGGCCTGGAGGTCAATCCCTACCAGTGATACCAACAACAATCAAGGCTTAACTACAATAAGACTGTGCACACAGCCCACAAAGGGATGCACCAAGAGTGTCCACCTCAGGTAACTAGTGAGGCTGAGCCACTGGACCCTATATTGGGTCGGCAGCTAAGTAATTGCGGGTTTCACACATATATGGCTTCAGTTGAATTTTTAGGTTTGCAGACGTAGTACAAATGTAAAACACATTTTGTTATTTGATAGTTGGCTATTCAGCTGTTAATCAGTAAAAAAAGTTTTTTGATCTGTTTTGTAGTTTTTGTTTGGCGTTCGTTGAAAAATGGAAAATCAAAAGGAACATTTTTGTCATATTTTGCTTTTTTATTTCCACAAAGGGAAAAACGTATCCCAAGCTCATAAAAAGTTATGTGCTGTTTATGGTGACGAAGCCTTAAAAGAACGGCAGTGTCAAAATTGGTTTGCCAAATTTCGTTCTGGTGATTTTTCACTCAAAGATGAAAAACGCTCTGGTCGTCCAGTTGAAGTTGATGACGCCCTAATCAAAGCAATAATCAATTCGGACTGTCACAGTACAACACGTGAGATTGCAGAGAAGCTTCATGTATCACATACATGCATTGAAAATCACTTAAAACAACTTGGCTATGTTCAAAAACTCGATACATGGGTTCCTCACGAACTGAAAGAATCACAGTTAACGCAACGCATTAGCAGCTGCGATTTGCTAAAAAAACATAATGAAAATGATTCATTTTTAAAACGACTGATAACTGGCGATGAAAAATGGGTTGTTTACAACAATATCAAGTGGAAAAGATAGTGGAGCAGGCCAGGTGAACCAACTCAAACAACATCAAAAGCTGATATTCATCAAAAGAAGGTTTTGTTATCAGTTTGGTGGGATTACAAAGGAATTGTCTACTTTGAACTCTTACCACCCAACCAAACGATCAATTCTGATGTCTACATTGAACAACTAACAAAATTAAACAATGCAGTTAAAGAAAAGCGGCCCGAATTGACAAATCGAAAAGGTGTTGTATTCCATCATGACAATGCAAGGCCACACACATCTTTGGTCACTCGGAAAAAATTAATGGAGCTTGGTTGGGATGTTTTGCCACAATACCTAACACACAAAGGCACTCTATCAACTCAGGGAAGCAGCCAAAATGCAAACACAATAAACAGGTCACAAATGAAAGAAAAGGAGGAAAGCAAACGACTGGATATAGAGTTCAAAATCACGGTAATAAGATTTTTCAAGAATTTTCTAGAAAAGGTAGATAAATTTAGCAAGACCTTGAGGATATGAAAAAGGACCAACTAGAAATTAAGCATACACTGACTGAAATAAAAAATAACATACAGAGATCCAATAGCAGACTAGAGGATCGCAAGAACCAAGTCAACGATTTAAAATACAAAGAAGCAAAAAATCACTCAATCAGAAAAGCAAAAAAATAAAAATAAAAATAAAATCCAAAAATATGAAGATAGTGTAAGAAACCTCTGGGACAACTTCAAGCATACCAACATCCGAATTATGGAGGTGCCAGAAGAAGAGAGAGAGCAAGATACTGAAAACATATTTGAAGAAATAATGACCAAAAACTTCCCCCACCTGGTGAAAGAATTAGTCTTACAAGTCCAGAAGTGCACAGAACCCCAAACAAAAGGAATCCAAAGAGGACTACACCAAGACACATCATAATTAAAATGTCAAGAACAAAAGACAAAGAGAGAATATTAAAAGCAGCAAGAGAGCCGGGACTGGTTTGGCTCAATGGATAGAGCGTCGGCTTGGGGACTGAAGGGTCCCGGGTTCGATTCCGGTCAAGGGCATGTACCTTGGTTGCGGGCATATCCCCAGTAGGGGGTGTGCAAAAGGCAGCTGATCGATGACTCTCTCTCATCGATGTTTCTGGCTCTCTATCTCTCTCCCTTCCTCTCTGTACAAAATCAATAAAATAAAAAAATAAAATAAAAAAAAAGCAGCAAGAGAAAAACAGTTAGTTACCTACAAGGGAGCATCCATAAGACTGTCAGCTGATTTCTCAACAGAAACTATGCAAGCTAGAAGGGAGTGGCAAGAAATATTCAAAGTGATGAATAGCAAGAACCTACAACTAAGATTACTCTACCAAGCAAAGCTATCATTCAGAATTGAAGGTCAGATAAAGGGTTTCACATATAAGAAAAAGCTAAAGGAGTTTATCACCGCCAAACCAGTATTATATGAAATGCTGAAAGATATTATTTAAGAAGAGGAAGAAGGCCGAAACCGGTTTGGCTCAGCGGTAGAGCATCAGTCTGCGGAATGAAAGGTCAAGGGCATGTACCTTGGTTGCGGGCACATACCAGGTAGGGGGTGTGCAAGAGGCAGCTGGTTGATGTTTCTCTCTCATCGACGTTTCTAGCTCTCTATCCCTCTCTCCTCCTCTCTGTAAAAAATCAATAAATATATAAAAAAAAAAAAAAAGAAAAAGGTAAAGATAAAAATTATGAACAATAAACACATATCTATCAATAAGTAAATCTAAAAATCAAGTGAATAAAAAATCTGATGAACAGAATAAACTGGTGAATAGAATAGAATCAGGGGAATAGAAAGGAAGTGGGCTGACAATTCTTGGGGAGGAAAGGGTGTAGGGGGGTGCAGGAAGAGACTGGACAAAAATCTGTACATCTATGGATGAGGACAATGAGGGGGTAAGGGCTGAGGATGGGAACTGCATGGAGGAGAGCTATGGGGGGGGGGGTGAAAAAGAGTAACAACTGTAATAATATGAACAAAGATTTATTTTTTAAAAAAGGTAATAAAGCCGAAACCGGTCTGGCTCAGTGGATAGAGTGTCAGCCTATGGACTGAAGGGTCCCGTGTTCAGTTCTGGTCAAGGGCATGTACCTTGGTTGTGGGTACATCCCCAGTAGGGGGTGTGCAAGAGGCAGCTGATCGATGATTCTCTCATCGATGTTTCTAACTCTCTATCTCTCTCCCTTCCTCTCTGTAAAAAATCAATAAAATATATTTTTTAAAAGGTAATATGCAAATTGACCATCACTCTAAGACACAAGATGGCTGCCCCCATGTGGTCAAAGATGGCTACCACAAGATGGCTGGCAGGGAAGGGCAGTTGGGAAGGATAGGCCTGCAGGGTAGAACAGTTGGGGGCGACCAGGCTGGCAGGGGAGAGCAGTTAGGGGTGGCCAGGTTGGCAAGGGAGGGAAGTTAGGGGTGACCAGGACAGCAGGGGAGGGCAGTTGGGGGCAACCTGGATGGCGGGGGGGCGGGGAGGGCAGTTAGGGGCAGTCAGGCCAGTAGGGGAGCAGTTAGGCGTTCATCAGACTGGCAGGGGAATGCTAAGGGGGTGATCAGGCTGGCAGGCAGAAGTGGTTAGGGCAATCAGTCAAGCGAGCAGTTGTGAGTCAGCAGTCCTGGACATCCCTCATCCCTCATCTCCCGTCCCAGATTGGAGAGGGTGTGGGCTGGATTGAGGGACAACTTCCCCCTACCCCCCGCCGTGAATGAATTTCATGCAGCAGGCCTCTAGTAAATTATAAAATTACTTCTTAAATTATTATGCTAACATCACTGTAAAAATAAAATGCATTACTATATCTATTAATTTTAGTTTGGCAAAATTAATATACCCTAAACCAGTGATTTTCAACCAGTGTGCTGTAAGAATTTTTAAAACAAGAAAAACCTAACTATTTAGTCAGAGGCACTGACCTGTTTTTCCCTTAGATTGTCAAAATAAAAAGAACAACAGCCAACACAATAGCTGTCCAGTATAAATGAATCAAATTATACCTTTTTTGGGGGGGGGCTCATATCAGCAAAAAAATGTTACCTTTCGGTGTGCTGCAGATTTTAGTAATTATTTATGTGTTCCATGAGATGAAAAAGGTTAAAAATTGCTGTTCAAAGCAATGAAGCTTAGAAACAAAAGAAGTTATTCAATCACCAATTTCTCAATAAAGATCTATTCTAAAAACCCCAATTCAAATCAATCAAATTCTTCACTCTGAAAATTTTCTTTTCCTGAGACTCTAAATCTTTTCTAGTTAACATCTATAAGAATAAAAATTTTACATACTTTTCCTTAAGTTCCGTTTCATCTTCTTATTGGGATCTTTATCATCTCCTAATCCATCTTCAAATGGTCTCTTCAAAGCTGAAGATCCAGCACCTAAAGAATTATAAGAGATTCATTATCAGTCAAAACAATGGTTCTACTTCCTCTACCAAATATATATACTATGTTCAGAAAAGGAAACCCTAGGAATCACAAAGACCATAGTGTTCTTTCATTGAACAATTAAATTGCTATGTTTATAATCTTGTAATAGCAATAACTTTTTAAGTAAATCTTTATGAAACAATTTATCCCTTTTTATAAATATTTATTTTCCCATTTATTCATACATACAAATACAAACCCCTATGTATATAGTCACATCTGTTTATGCATAGACAGAAAAAGGTCTGGGAAGCTATGTATCAAATGTTAAAGGTAGTGTTCTCTGGTATTAGGATTTATTTTTACTTATGTCTTTTCAAATATTTCTATAACTTAACATTTATTACTTTGTATAAATTTTTAAAGCTCACATGTTAAATCTTAGGCTTTTGGAAATCTGATTATTTCTCACATTACAAAATATTCTTCTGTCTGTCCAGTCAAACCCGACTTGAGATTTTATTTATAGTTCATCTTTCCATGAAGTTTTCTTCAGCTTTTTTCTCATCTCAACTTTCTAAGAGTTTCTATGGTATTAGAAATATAAAGTGTTCCATGTGGTAGTGTGTCATTGGCTATTTCATATGTTTTCTTTGTGCTCTAATGAAGGTCAAAGATATTTTGCCCTTATCTTGTATCTTTAAAACTATAACAAGACTTAGAAACAATATAATGGGTATAAACCAAATGATATGCAATTTCTTGGGTAAAGCAGCTAGTTCATAACACTGTCAGGCAAAAGGCTTTGCTGTCCAAGTTAAAACCAATCAGAGAAAAGCTCATTAACCTCTCCAAGTATTTTAAAGAACTCTGTCTCTTCAACTTAAAAACTGGTTATGGGTTTTTCCTAAAGGAAAGTTATACTCAAGAGATTCATGCCACAAGATTTGCAGATACTTCTAATGAGACCTTATAAGAATAGTAACATTAACTACATATTCTTTAATCATGAAGATTTGGTGTCCCTTGAGGCAAACACTGACTTTAGCACTTGCTTGAGTCAATGCTTACTGCTCAGGTCTATAAATCTTGATGTTCTCTTCTATAGAAGGCATTATCTGCTTATATCTTCTTAGCATTGTATTTCATCTGCATTATATAAAACCCTATGAGCCAGTCTCCGGGAATACCCCCTCTTTAAGAGATAAAACTTCAAAGGGAACACAGTCTATCAATCACTCAACCGCTCACTAAGTTACATTAAAAGCTGCTACCTGATGGTGCAGAAATCACAAACGCTTAAAGGCATAGATCTTGTCTCTAAATCCTCCAGCTATAGAGTTCCATGGATTAAGCTTCCTTCTCCAGCCACTGTAAAACAGCTGTAAATTTGGGGCTAACCATAATAGTAATAGAGTGGGGGGAGTGGGGTAGAAATGGGCTTGTTTTATAAACACAAATCATTTTCAACCTATATAGTATCTAGAAATGAGAAGTGATCACTTGAGAGGGAACAATTTTTTAAAATAATATGAGTGTTTACTATATGCCTGGCACTGTTTTTAATACCTTACATGCATTAATTTATTTAATCATCACCCTTTGAAGCATGTACTTATATCATCCACATTATAATTTCATGTATGTATTCATTCAGCAACTAATATTAACTGAGAATTTTCTATGTGCAGGATCAAAATAGATGCTGGACAAAACAGTATCTCAAAGAGTTTAGGCAAAAAAAGAAAAAAGAGAGAGAGAAAGTTTATGCAAGGTGGTGGAAAGGAACTACAGCATGCCCTAAAGTTTTGAACACAATAAAGAAAAATATAAGAACCTTAAAGGGGAGGAGGTGTTGCTGTTTTGTTTGTAGTGCTCATCTGAAAGCTCAAAAAGGTATTGCTGATAAGGCGACCTTTTGATGAAGACTTAAGGAAAATAAGAGTGAGCTCTTCACTATGAGGGAATGAGCCCCAGGCAAGGAAAACAGCCACAAAGGGCAGGATCGTGTTAGGAAAAATCATAAAGGCCTAAGTGGTTGGAGTCTCCTGACCCAGGAGGACAGCAGAAGATGAAAAGAGGCAGTAGTTCTAAACTGGAGCTGCCACTAATTCATCAGGAAACTTTTACAAAATATCTCAGTTCCACTTCCAATATAAGAAAGTAAGTAAATTGAAAAAGCCTTCCTGATGTGAGTAATTAGAAACACTGGACAAAATGTAGAACAAAATATGTTCCCTGATAGTAAAGACTATAGAGTTAGATCTGGAGATGAAGGAAACCCTGCATTAGGGCCATATTTCCTCGAGGGGCATTTTCCAAGTGCAGAAACAGCCAGTAAGGACTGTGGGGCAAAAGCTGAAGTGTAAGGACCACCAAGAAGGGAAGGCATGTTGAACCTCCCCCCATTGTGGATCTCATGAGGATTGAAGTCCAACTTCAAAGCACCTTCCTCCTTGATTACATTAAAATGCCCAGGATTGCCAATGCCACTAACCATCTCCCAGAAACAGGTATAAGTCTGCCCTGGGGAAAGATAGTCTTACTCTAGCCTTTAAATTCTCTAGAATTTTTTTCATTTTAAGTCTCCAGCATTCACAATAACCAGGTACATAAGAAGACACGATATTATGATAAAAAATCAAGGGAAGTAGCAGACAACAGAAACAGAACCAAAAGAGACCCAATGATGGAGCTTTCAAAAACAAACTTTATTAAAAAGGATGATCAGAATGCTAAAGAAATTTAAAAGTGAAAAATAAAAACTAGAAGAATTTCTGGAAGAAAATCTGAAACTATAAAAGATCCTTTCATTATAAAAATGAAAAATCCTATATGCAAATTGCCCTTTCAATTAGGAGTTCAACCAGGACTTTGACCAGGGGGTGGGGCTGGCAGCTATGGGAAGGGAGATGCCCCTGATGGAAGCTGCTAGGGATCCTACCCATGCACAAATTTCATGCACTGGGTCTCTAGTATAATATAAATTAAGAACTAACAGACCTACAAGTGGAACTAGAAAATCCACAGAGGGAAACTGACATACTCTTCCAGTAATTAGAAGAACAAGTAAACAAAAACTATAGTATAGGTATACAAGATCTGAACAGCATAACGAACAAATGTAACTGCAAAATGTTCATAAAGAACATTTAGACCAACAACTGCAAAATGTACATAATTTTTCAGATGGAAACATTTACAGAAGCTGACTAAGTACTGGAACATAAAACAAGTCTTAAAAAAAAATCAAAGGAGAAATCAAACAAAACATGTTCTCAGATTATAGTAGGATAAAAGGGAACTCAAATATAAAGTGGTAACTAAAAAATCCTTTCCTGTCTGGAAATTAAGCAATAACAACATATAAGAAGCTCATGTGTTGCCTGGCAGATGTGGCTAAGTTGTTGAGTGTAGACTCATTAACCAGGAGGTTATAGTTCAATTCCCATTCAGGGTACATGCCCGGGTTATGGCCTCGATCCCCAGTAAGGGGAAATGCAAGGAAGACAGTTGGTCAATGATTCTCTCTCATCATTGATGCTTTTATCTCACTCTTCCTCTCCCTTCCTCTCTGAAATCAATAAAAATATATTAAATAGTTCTAACTGGTTTTGCTCAGTGGATAGAGCATCAGCCTGTAGAATGAAGAGTCCTGGGTTCGATTCCAGGTGGGTGTGTGGGAGGCAACCATTGATGTGTCTCTCTCTCATCTATGTTTCTATCTCTGTTTTCCCCTTCCTTCTACTCCATCTAAAAATCAATAGAAAAGCCAACACTGGTTTGGCTCAGTGGATAGAGGGTCAGCCTGTGGACTGAAGGGTCTCAGGTTCGATTCCAGTCAAGGTCATGTACCTTGGTTGCGGGCACATCCCCAGTGGGGAGTGTGCAAGAGGCAGCTGATCAAAGACTCTCTCTCATCGATGTTTCTAACTATCTCTCTCCCTTCCTCTCTGTAAAAAATTAATAAAATATATATTTTTTAAATTAAAAATAAAATAAAATAAAAATCAACAGAAAAAATATCCTCCATTGAAGATTAATCAAAACAATAATTTATATATATGTGTGTGTATTAAATAACTTATGTGTCAAATAACTGATAATAAGAGAAAATAAAAGACAGTTTTAACCTAGTAATAATGAAGATACTAATGGCAAAAGCGCATACTAGGGGCTCTTTCCTCCTCCCCACGTGGGAGTCTGTACTTACGCTTTAATTAATCTCCACCTTGGCTACACCATAAAAATAAATAAATAAATAAATAAATAAATAAATAAATAAATGTGTGTACTATACACATAAATCGGCTTAAAGGAAAACTTACAGTCTTAATAGTATATGCAATAAAACAAGGGTCTAGACAAATTAATTATATTTTCATCTATCTCGAAAAGTTACAATAGCAAATTACAGTCAAAGAAGGTAATTTTATAAAACTTTTTAAATTTAGATGAAATAGATTTGTAGAAAAAACAATTTATCCAAACTCTCACAAGACGATGACAGTTTCATATGTTTTTAGTAAATTTGATCCATAATTTAAAACCTACCCACAAAGAAAACCAAGTGCCCAAATGGCTTCAATGATAAATTCTTACAAACATTTAAGGAAAAAAATTACATCAATCTTATGCAAACTCCTACAAGGACAAAAAAAGAGGGACAATCTCCAACTCACTTTTATGAGACCAACATAATCTTAAGAGACAAAACCTGACAAAACATTACAACAAAGGAAAACTGCTGGCCAATCTAATACATAATAGGATTTGCTTATAAAACCTATGCAAGATTGCTCATACCAGCTATATTTGTGACTAGAGGCCCGGTGCACGAAAACCGTGCATGAGGGAGGGTAGTGTCCCTCAGCCCAGCATGCACCCTTTCCAATCTGGGACCCGAGTGGGATCAGGCCTAAACAAGCAGTCAGACATCCCTCTCACAATCCAGGACTGCTGGCTCCCAAATGTTCGCCTGCCTGCCTTCCTGAATGCCCCTAACCACTTCTGTCTGCTAGCTTGATCAACCTCTAATCACTCCCCTGCCAGCCTGATTGATGCCTAACTGCTCCCCTGACAGCCTGTTTGCCCCTAATTGCCGTCCCCTGCAGGCCAGATCACTCCTAACTGCCCTCCCCCCTACATGCCTGGTCCACCCAACTGCTCTCCACTGCAGGCCTTGCCCCCACCCCCTATCTGCCCTTCCCTGCATGTCCGATCACCCCCAACTTCCCTCCTCTGCCGGACTGGTCCCTCCCAACTGCCCTCCCCTGCTGGCCAGCTTGTGGTGGCTATCTTGTGTCCACATGGGGGCAGGATCTTTGACCACATGGGGGCAGCAATCTTATATTGGAGTGATGATCAATCTGCATATTACTCTTTTATTAGATAGGATAGACAAACCTGGAAACAAAAAATTCCCTACAACCGAAGCACAGTTAAACAAGTCTGGTTCATCCAAAGCCATGGAATATTACATGGCAATAAATCTAATGACACGTGCAACAACTTGGACAGGCCACAAGGACATTACACTGGGGGGTGGGAGGGACTAGAGGGAAACTGACATATTCTTCAGTTATTAGAACAAGTAAACAAAACAGGGGAGATCTCAAATGATCACATACTGTATAACTCCTTGAAATGACAAAAGTACAGAGATAGAGAAGTCAGTAGTTTCCAGGGTTCAGGGATGGTAAAGAAGAGGGTGTGACTATAAAGGGGCTGTATGTAGAAGGTAGAGTAGTTCTGTCTCTTGATTGTGAAGGTGGTTACACAAATCAACACATGTAATAAAATGGCAAAAAACATATACATACACATGGTATCAATGTCAAGTTCTTGCTCTTGATATTGTACAGCAAGCATGTCAAACTTGTGGACAGTGAGGCATGCAGCCCACCGGCCACAAGTTTGACATGTGTGTTATTCAGTACTAGAATATAAGATGTAACTAGTAGGAGAAATTGACTGAAGGGTACATGGGAACTCTCCGTGGTAACTAGGCAACTTCCTATGAGTCTGCATTTTAAGATAAAAAATTAAGGGAAAAAAGAATTATTGATTGTTGAGAACAGACAACCAGGGCAACGTCACAAGCAGAAAGACCAAGATAGAGAAGTTACTACAATAACCCAGGTGAGAGATGATGGCAGCTCAGGCCAGGATGGCAACAGTGAAACAGTTAAAGAAATCGCTGAATTCTGGAGATACTTTGAATGTACAACAGACAGGATTTGTTGATTATGTGGATATGGAGGAAAGAAAGAGGGGATTCAAGGGTAAAGGTTTTTTTGCCTGAGCAAATAGAAGGATAGAGTTTCCAATGACTGGGAGAGTGATAACTATGGAAAGAGCAGATCAAAGATAGCTTAAGGACAGAAATTTGGATTTTAAACATCTTAAGTTTGAGATGGATCTGAGGTCAAGGGCTGGTAGTCTGGAGAGGAATAACTGGTGCTAAATATCCTACCTTCTGGTATAACAGAAGATAAAGGGGGGAGGGAGTATTTTTGAGGCATAACGAGGAGAGTAAGTAGATTCATATTTGAGTCTGCTGTATCTGAGGAACTGAGTCGGGTATCTTAATCTGTCCATAGCCAATAAAGCAGGGGTAACATCCCTAGGACAAAAATAAGCTCTTTGCTCAAGACCTAAAGCTAGTAAATAGTGGGGCTATGACTGGAACCCAGGCAATACTGACCCCAAAATCTGATGAAACTCTTGAGTTCAAACAGACTAGAACAAATGGAAGATACTCTGGGATTTCTCAATATACGTTTCCTTTATATTTGTTTTCTCTTTTTTGGTTATGTAACGGTTCCAGTACAGCAATGACATCTCCTAGTTTATGGACTACCTCTTCTCTTAGACCAGAGGTTCCCTACATTTATGCAGTAATTAAATCTGGCCAACATAGTCAACTGAGTTAATCACTAATAAGAGTAAATAATAGCAAGCTGATGTCATTGATGGGACAGAAAAGCAGAAAGTCAGGGGGAAAAAAGCAATAAAAATCCTCATCCATGACTTGGATTAACAATTTGTTTAAATTAGCGCATAATTTGGCAGATAAAATTATATTAGGTTCAGGTGTACAATATAATGATTCCACATTTGTCTACACTGTGAAATGATACCACAATAAGTCTAGTTAATATACAATTAATTATTAAATTCCCTCCCCTCTAACAAGAGAGGCACCCCATAATCATCTCTACCACTGCCCATGCCCAAAACCAATAAAAAAACTTTCACACTCACCTTCTTTATCGGTAACTGACCAGGAGTATTTTTGAAAAGGCTTACTAGATGGAAGGGGGTCCATCTCCAGCACTTTATAAATCTGACCAAAGGCTGACAGTCTTAGTGCATGCTGAAGAACAAAAGATTATATTTATTCAAATTTCAACAGCCATTTATAAAGTCCTTTTATAAAGCCCTTAGGACATCTAGCTAAAAAAGACTATTCATTAAACGCTAATGTTATGATGGATAAATCCCTTTAACAATAGGCAAGAAAATAGTGTTTAAATAGAAAATTCAGAAACTAAAGTGATAATATCCCTCTAATAGGTCACAGTAATGTGCCCCATCTTCTACCTGGGCACTATGGGTAATATCTTCTTTTTGCTGGATGGTCATATAGTTCAGAGCATCTGTTGGGTCTCGCTCACAAGGATCATGAAGACCAGGACCCCCTTCGGCAAAGGCAAAAGAAAGACACAATACCACTTAGAACTGAGTTTAGGAATTCAATAAACTAACAGAGAAAAAGAGAATAGGGGGGGGGGGGGAGACTGAGAAACTACATCTGCTTAATTAAATGGAGTAAAGGACACTCTCATTTTCAATATGTTAGCACCTAAATGTCCTCATTTTATTGGAAGTCACATATATCTCAGATCAAAATTTGGTCTTATTCTGAGAATTAGACACAGCATGATAAATCATCCCAAAACTTTTAAGGGATTACATATAGAAAATAAAACCAAATTTAATGTTTCCAAATTAAACACCAGAGTGCAAACAGAGTGAACTTAATACATTTTAACCAGACATCTGCATTTTCAAATTCAGAGCTCAAAGTAAAGCAAATTCATAGCAGACACAATATCTTATTAGTACCATTTATGTTAGTACATATAAAACATAAATTACATTTATTCAAACAGAGTTTTATAGCCATTTTTCAACATACAGGTATCCTATTTGCACAACTCCTACACATCACTTTCCTGTGCAGAGGATAAATTTAATAAGGATTTAGAAAAATAAACCAAAATGAGATTTTTCTGATTCTTCTGCCTCCAGAGTTTGAAACCCTTACCAGGAAGTAGTATTCCAGATGCCAAACACTCCATTACTCGTCTCAAGGCCTCCCCAGCGCCCAAAGGTCTATTACAAGTACCTATAGACTTTTCACATATAAGCTCTAGTGGCTAGAAGATATTAAATTACAAATTAGTACATGCATCAAGTGTTAAAAGAATTCCAGTTAAATGTGAGCTGACATTTCTATCTACAATGAAGGCCAAAACCATGAAAGTCCATTTATGATTTAGGGCTCAATTAACTTTTCCCCTTTGTTTATTAACCTTTAACCCAGCTAGTGTTTTTAAATCAACCATTTTTGAGATAATATGTTTTGTTATAAAACTTTAGTTGCCCTGAAAAGATCACTTAAGAAATTGTGGTCACTAAACTAATTTCATAAAAATATAACCAGCCTTCCTATAAGTTAGTAATAGCTAATAACTAATCAATATTCAAACCCAACCCACCTGTCTCCCACATAACCTAGGAAACACTTAAAAAATAAGACTTCTTTTTCAGACAGCCTGCCTCAAGTACTACAATTAGAATAAATAAAGGACCAAATCTCTATATTCAATAAATTAAAAATTGATACTATATGAAAGTTATAATTGCTAGACTAATTTAAAATGACCCTTTAACACGGCCAATGTTGCTCAGTGATTAAGAGTCAACCCATGCACCATGAGGTGACAATTTGATTCCGGGTCAGGGCATATGCCTGGGTTGCAGGCTCAATCCCTCATAGGGAGTATGCAGTAAGCAGCCCATCAATGATTCTCATCACTGACATTTCTCTCTCTCTCTCTCCCCCTCTCACTTCCTCTCTGAAATCAATACAAAAAATATATATATATATATATATTAAAAAAAAAAAAAAAAAAAAAAAGGAAGCAGCACTGAAAGAGCAATGTGCCAGTCAAGGAGCTTTCATGGGCAGTAGTGAATACTGCAGAGGAAAGTGCAGAAAGACATTCACTTCTAACAAGTATAGAGGCTTTTTGTCAGAGAAAAAAATCTCAGGCTCTGTAACATGAATTATGATAAGGTAAAAGAGACATGTTGCATACGTAAAAAAGAATTCATACGAAAAGGTGCGTAATTTTTTTCCAAAACAAAAATAAGTAATGCATACCTTAGCTAACTCAGAATACAGCTATTTCATAGTAATATGTAATTTCTACAGGATTTCGTCTGACTTTACTTCAGAATTTGCTTTTAACTGTATTTAAGTACTTACCCATCCTTTTAATGGTGCCCATGTGGGGACTCTGTTGCACAAATCACGCAGAATGCGAAGGACAATGACACATGATTTTAATCCATTTGCCCTTGCCTAAAACAAACAAAATGATTCCAATATCCTTGTTGAAATCCAGTCTTCATTTAAGCACACTGATCATGGATAGGCTCTTTAAAGTGAATACTAATTAGTCAATTATCATCAGTTGTCAAACAAAATTTTAAAATAAAGTAAAATTATAATTCAGAAGGCAGCTTTTAAAGTAATGGAAGTATACTATTAAAATTGCTTTTATAGCCTCATGACACCATTCCAGGCCACTATTTTAACTTTTCTCACCTAAGTTTGTATTTTATAAGCCACCATTTAAAATTTAGAGTGCTAAGCTAAAAAGGGTTATACCGTATTATAATTAAACATCAACTATATAATAGAAGCCATACTAGGTATTTTACCTAAGTTAACTCATTTATTCTTATAATGACCCTAGAAGGTACCCCGCTTTAAAATTTACACAGAAATCAGTAAGTGGCAAGTATGAAACCTATACAAGGCTACAGCAACAGTAAGATAAAAACAGAGCGCCAACCTGAAACCATTTGGCATGTCGAAGAGACGCCAAGGCGTTCAGGCATTTCTGCCTGTCCAATAAGTCTGGAGGATCTTTCATCGCAACCTTTTCTAATGGAAAAATGGGATAGAGAGAGACATATACAATTTGACCAAGGAGTTCCTGTCAAATTACCAAACAATAAATTTTTTTAAAAGAGCAGCATTTGAGTTAACTAATAAGACTCCCAGAAGATTTCATGATTTGGTTTATTTGTTGTTTTTGAAAGTTACATGCACTATAATTACTTAAGTAAAAAGTCATCAGAGCCATTCTGTGCACAAGTAAACAGGAGCACAAAGGCATTTGGTCAGTAAACAAATCAATAATCACCGCTACATACAATCTGGGATCTTATTAAGCACACATAACATCAAAGGGCACAAAATAGGTACATAGCACTTGTTCCTTTGGCTGGGTGCAAGAGTGCAAATCTGGGACTAATAACAGTTATAACTATTTTTTATAGAAGGAATCTTAATCACTAATCAATTCTTAAGGAAAACTGGGGCTCTTTTATATAATCAATAAGAGATATATTACAAATACACTGCATATAGCAATTTTATTTTTTACAACTAAATAAACTTATCCAACAAGATAACCATTAATAGAAACTTTACCCCATTAATGAAAACTGTTCAAATGTCACATTGGAGTTCCCTCACTATTTCTTTTCTAAGCCCAAATTATCAAAACTACAAAAATGAAAAACATGGAAATACATTTCAATTTTAAATTATATAAATTTTTTAAAGGCAGCAAAGAATACTATCTAATTACAGCTATTAGACTTGCCTTAACATTTTAAAGTTGGATTAGAGGGCCCAAAGCAGCAAAATTAAGAATTCAAACATGTGATTAATGAAAAATGAAAAATATCCATATTTGAGAAAATGTCACATGATACTAAATCCAAGTTTAAGAGCCAAATGTATTCCCTCTAAGGTGTTACAGAGTGGGTTTTTCAACTTTTTGAAGACTTGGTGCATTATTTAAATGCTACAAAAACTACAAATGTTTCTTGGGGAGAAATTTTGCTTAGCCCAATGAAGTCAGATTCACCATTCTCCTTTAAGAACTTTTAGATATAGCAAAGTCCACTTTTTCCTAGCATTATCATAATAATCAGAATTGGTAGTATGCTGTGTGGGCCAATTGATTCAAAGTCAATATTTTAAAATAAGAGGCAGATAACTGATAATTTTTGGTTTCCTCATTTACAGGATTCCATTATGACATATATTCTAATTGGTAGTTTGCCATTAACTGAAACTGAAGGCATAATGCCCAGCAGAAACAAATCTTTTAGAGGAAAAATTGGGGTTTTCTGTAACAGCGGTCACCAACTGTGTGGTCTGCGGGCCACTGGTGATCCGTTAGGTCTGAAAGGTTGGCCACAGCTATTCTACGGGCTGCAGCATTCTAAAGGTTGAAGTGCTACACACTTATTTTCTGACCCGGTGAGCTCTACACCAGATATTTGCATTGATTCACATTAACCTCTGCCAACAAATTCACAACACAGGGCCTCATTTCACTACCCCTTTTTATTCAAAAATTGGGCTGCCTCAAAAAGTATGTGGATTCATTGATAACCATAAAAAAAATATACTATGGACTTTTACTTCATAGGTGATCTAGTTCCTGGGCTTGCTCAATTTTGTCATTGTAATGACACAAACATACAACTAACTCATTTTAATGTTATGTCAAAATATTTAACTGTGGTCAATGCAAGCATCTGCATAAAGCTCACATATCAGATCAAACAAACTACTATAAATGAATGATTAGAATCTCTTTAAAGTTAGACATGACAAAGGTTGACTGACTGCTAAGTAATATAATTCCCAAAGAAGGTATGGGCTGTACTTATTTTTTAAAATCTCAATCTCTAAGAATGAGGCAAGCTTAGTTTTATTCTATCATCTTACCAAGTAGGAGTTGGGAAGAGTGGGGGAGGGGTATTGCAAGAGAAGGGAAGCAGAGGAAATTTGGATAGGAAAAGACAAGGCAATCCAAAACTCTTGTTGAACTTTCTGGTACTTTCGTCCAATGGTCAGAACTTGTAAATAACATCTCATGCTCATTGCAACACATATTTTTAAAGGGGGACAATCGCAAAAATATGAAGATAAATTATTTCATCTCCTAAGTCAGATTATAACCACAAATTCTTATTTAACAAAAACAAAACAAACAAACAAAAAAAAAACCCAGAGGCATCAGCTTGTTACAGACAGTCAACATTTGGAGGCAATAGTTTCCACTGAGACAAGATGGAGGGGCAGGCAGTGAACAGAAGACTTGCACCAGATTCCCATTCACATCACCATCAGAATAGCTATGTTTCTTCCTGCTCTGATAGTCAAAATGTCAAAAGATCCAAAATGTTTCAATATTCATGAGGTGGGATACAGTAAAGGAAATGTCATAATTCATTTCATGTTATCTTCCTCAAAGTTTCTTATTTTAAAACCATGTGAATTCATTCATTCATAGTACCTGTAAGCCCTGCTTTCCTATTTCCTTTATATATTAATAACATATAGTTTTACATATTTTCATTCATTGAGAAAAATAATTTACTTAATATAGCAATCATAGAATTGCTGCTGGAAAAACACCACTTCTAATAGCAGAAGTTCAAGTTTAACATATTTTAATGATCTTCAATGTAAGTGTTTCAATTTTGTGGGGAAGCAAAGCTTTTCTGATAAAAGGCAACTTGGAGTCTTTAAATTAGAAACAATGCAACTGTGAAACATTTCATTTTTTCCTATATTGACAAGTAAAATTAATTAAGAAATAGAATTGGAATTAAAAAAAATAGTATGGGGATGGGCATGAAGAGTGACAAAAGTGCCCCCCAAAACCATAAATAAATAAATAAATAAATAAATAAATAAATAACACAAAAAAACAGCTTGTAAAATTTTATTGCTCAGTAACCTGGCATCAGGGCATGAAGCTACATCAAGCATTCTGAACAATGGAAGCACTGGAAAAGAAGTCTATATGCCGAACTTTATTTTGGTTAGAGGTTAGATCAGTGACCAGAAACACACTGTACTACAGGAAATGTTGGTCAGTTTCTCTCAATTCATACATGCATGCTAACTCTCTTCCCATTAACAAAAACACTAGCCTGGACACTGGGTAGAGAAAAGCCAGAACATGATTGGTAAACAGGAGTTCTATGTCTGGAACCTGGGCTCTTCAAAGGTAAAATAACTGAGCTGGGTTATCATGAAGGCCTCCTTGACAATACGGATGGAGCTGAGCAACTGAGTACATGTTGACAGAATTTTTTAGTTAGCATGAAAATATTCTAGCAGCCCCTTCTCTCAATCCCTTGAGGCTCTGTGGAGAGTAGACATTATGCTTCAAACCGCTGTCCATGCAAAACATCAAGCCACGATAATGTACACAGGTAAATGCAGGACTAAGGGAGATCTGAGAGACTGTTTTCCTAATTTACGGTAGAAATGTCCCTCGGTATAACTTTTTTTTTTTTTTTCCAATGCCTTAGTAGACAGTTGGCCACTGGAAAAATAATGGCTTAAGGTTTGCACCTGGTTTTAGATCTAGAAACTGGGAAAGGCAGAAAAAGAAAGCCTGAAGCATCATTATAATCCCAGTTGTGAGAATGTGAGAATATAATACCTTCACCTAGAAGGACGTTTGCCAGTGAACGTTTGTCAAGATGCACCAGAAGTTTATACTGGCGCTAATATGTGAAAAGGGACTCTTGGGTAACCTTGCTGTGAGCCACTGAAAATCTCCCCAATACCGAGGACCGGGGTTTGTCTTAACCTAAGCCACACAACTCTCTGTAGTTTTCCTGTGCACCTGGTTTCAAACTGTACTGCAAATGGAATAAACAGCTGATTTATTGCCCTCATAGCAAACACATGGCTAGTTTAAATTCACAAACACCAAAAGAAGCTGAGACTGTGATACTCGGAGTAACCTAATCAGCTAAGATGCTCCGACACTCATTCTTGACAGTAATGGGAACGTGGACAGCACAATGGACTTATAAGAGCTGGGTCCAATGTGATACTTTCTTATTATAAAACAAGGCAATTATCTACCCAAAAGGGCTATTGTGAGGATTAAAATGAGTTATATGAAAAAACTGCTAATAAAATAGTAAGTTATTTTATACCCTGCCAGAGCTTGAATTCTGACATGCCCAATGTTAATGCTTCTTACATACAGGACAGTCCTATTTAATCAAACAATATGCTGACTACAAAAATTCATCAGATAGATTTTCTTAAATTGCCTACTATGTATTAGGTAGCATCCCAGGTGCTAGGGGGACAGAATAGGAGTAGAGAAAAAGATGCCTGCCCTCAATGAACGAGCCATAAACTGTATAATAAGCAAGCCCAATATTAGCACTGTAGCAAGTACAAATTACTGATTCCAATACTGCACTTTAATGGGGATTTAGGTTCAGTTTTTCAGACCCATTATGTACACATTATTATCACTGTGAGCTCAAGGCAGTTTGAGTAGGTAAGCTTGTGTTATGAATCTTTTTTGTAAGCTACTACTAGTTACTGAGCAACTACTTTGTACTGAGTATTGTATAGGTCACATTACACAAACTCTTTCATTTAACCTCAAACAACTTTCTAAAGTATTTATTATCCACATTTTTTTTTAAGAAATCTGCCCAAGGTCACACAGAAATAGTAACTAATGGACTTAAGAATTGAACAACTGATTGCCACTAAGGTCTGTGCTTTTTAGCAGGAAGCATTTAGTAAAGGGGTAGGGTTATTCTACATGTCCTTCAAGTAAAGGGTTAGACTATGGAAAAGTAAGTAGTGACCTGAAATAGGTAAAGAAATGGACCTAAGGAGGTCAAATGTGATTCCCTCATCTGTACCAGTCCTCCAGTTCTCTCTGCTCTCAACCATACTTTATCCCCTTTTTTATATTTTATATATAAATAGTCTGTTTTGTGGGAAGGGGAGAAGTTGAGATTCTACAGAAAAATACTCTCTGAAATATGTTACATGTACTTTTTTGAGGAAAAAAAACGAGTGGAGATCATTTTTAAAGGGAATTTTATCAGTCTTAGAAATTTCTGGAACCCTAATAATCTTGTACTTTCACCCCCTACAGCTGGAGGGAGGAGCTGTCTAGTGTAAGAAATCAAGTCCTACAGAATTGTACAGCCTAGGTCTCAAATATTCAGTTATGCTGGATCCTCAAATTTTCCCAGGAATATACAAAACTTCTAGCACACATGAAAAAAAAACAAAACTGTCTTTGACAAAACCCAGGTTAGACAAAATGAGCAAACTGGAAGAGATAAGTGAGTTAAAAGGGCTGGAATTGAGAACAGCAGCAAAGCAAATCTTCCTGCTATTCAAAAGAAGAGGAAGTAACATGTATAAAACATTGGAGCCAAGCTGATTCTTTCACCTTCCCTGATCCCACACCAACTATGTTAACACCAACTAATGAAAGTCAGCCCTTAAAAGGTATTGGGATCCTTTAGTAACCCAAACACCTTAAACAAACACTGACTCTCCTACTTTATCACAAGTTCTATCCTATAACTAGTCTTCTAGTGAGGATGCAATACACTAAGAATCTGTTTTCAGTTTCCACAAAAAGAAATTAAAATATTAAAAGCAGTAGACTAAGCTTAAGGGCATCACTGAAAACTAAGACAAAACCCTATGTAAGTACACAAAACCCTGGGCAAAAAGAAGTCTGATGTTGTTGTCTTAATATTTTCAAAGAAGTAATGGAAGGGACGCCTACAGCTACAAGCAAACATATAATTAATATAGTCTTTGGCAACTTCAGTCTTGTTCTCCTCTCTCTATACTCTAATTTTTAAGAATACCTATAATCATAACTCTACTTAAAAATGGTTAGTTTTACACTAGGGGTGTCAAGTAGAACACAGCTTACCAGAATTAACAGAATTATCTTGATACTTCAGAAATCATTTTATAGTTCTACAGTTAATGGTGAACTGAAAAGCTGTTAAAGAAATTAAGCCATTTAAGATTGGTTCTTCAGAGGTGTTAGAGACACTATATACAGCAAAAAAACAGTACATGCATAAACCCAATTATAGATTGGATGCACTTTAAATTTAAACTATAACTCATAAATGTATCTAGTTTATATTGTTGGGTTTAGTATAGCTGATTTTAGTTACCCCAAAAGCTTTTTAAAAGGAGTCTATCACATATCTGCCAAAACTCAAAAAAAAAAAAAAAAAAAAAAAAGTTCTAACAGGACTAGTAAATGTCTTTGTCTACCTTTATCATCAACTTAAGAAACTGACCAATATTTCTTACTGCACTGGCATTTCAGGTAAAGGGGTAAGCAATGGGAGTTGTTAAATGTCTAGTGATGAAAAGGAGCAATAGAAAGTCTCTATTGGCCCAGGCAGGCTGGACTGTCTCTAAATTGTCATGACAGAGGGAGGGTGGTTGGTCAAAGGTCTGACACAGGAAAAATATCACAGGACAAGTTTGTAGGGACAGAACTGAGAGGCAGAAACAAGCTAACTTGACAGAATAAAAACATCAGAAAAAGAAGTTCGGCTCCATTATTACTTCTCAAAACCAAATAGATTTCTCACTCTAATTTTACAAGGATGACACTGCCATACAGGAATTTTTTTTAACTTCAGAAGAAAGTTAGTTTAAGGCATGATTCCCACATAAATCAAAATGAAAATGCTAACAGATCACAAACCTCCTAGAAAAAAAACTTACTAAAGATTATTAATTTTAAAAATCTAATCCCGTAACTCATATCTTACATTATAAAACATATTTACCCACGGACAATTAGGTAAAGCATAACGAGTAATGTGAACAACTGAATAAATATGAAAACACTGTTTGGTCCACATTTAATCCTGGAGCCAAACTCTACTAAACAGATTGAATGACAGCAATAATAATGCAATACCATAATGCCAAATTAGTATAAAATTAGCTATGACCAACATGAAAACACAAGTTTCTCAATTAACGTATTTTATATTTCAAATATATACATTTTTGCAAAATAGTGAGTTATGTAGAAAGAAACGTATTTAAAATATTATTAATGGCATAAACAAATGAAGACAGTTATATCATAAATCTATAAAGCACAGTTAACATAGCACTACACATAGGTCTTTTATGAACAAAACAAACAAAAATATATGTGTATGTACCTCCATCCTTTTTCTCCAATTCATCCCTAATTAGAGGGGAAGTAAGTATCACCTTCAAAGTTAGCGTGGGCTCTTTTGTATTCCGAATTACAATAGATGCCTCATCTACACGTTGTTCCACTTCATACTTCTCTTCTGTGAGTTTCTGAAAGTCACCAAGATTTCAAAACATCCAATTAATTAAATTTTCAAAAAAATGAATGATTGCCCCTTAGTTTTCAAGTGTAATTAACTACTACTAATACTGTGCCAATAGAGTGAATAAAGTCTTTAGCTCCTTAGGGATAACATTTCTCTCTCCTTCCAACATTATCAGCAAATCCTTTCTCCATCCCTCAAAAAGTAACCACAATGTCAACTCTCTACACAATTATAAGCAGTATTTCAATTCATTCTTTGTAATATTTGAATGTAAAATAGCAACAGTGTCATTATGCTATAAAGGGTAAATTACTGTGGGTGGTTTTTTTTACATTATTACAGAGAACTACTGTTGACAAATAAATCGCTGGGAATGCTCTCTTAAACCAATATATTTTTTTTTTGATAGGACAGTCTAAAAAGGAACTCCTACTTATCAAGGACTTATGAATTTAAGATTATATAGACTTTTATATAAGATTATATAGATTTCTAAAGAGAATCAAGTAAGAATAAACAGGAAAGAATCTACTAGCAAAAAAAAAAAAAAGTATAGCCGAAACCGGTTTGGCTCAGTGGATAGAGTGCTGGCTTGGGGACTGAAAGGTCCTGGGTTTGATTCCGGTCAAGGGCATGTACCTTGGTTGCGGGCACACCCCCCCCCAGTGGGGGGTGTGCAAAAGGCAGCTGATCGATGATTCTCTCTCATCGATGTTTCTGACTCTCTATCCCTCTCTCTTCCTCTCTGTATAAAATCAATAAAAAATATTTTTTTAAAAAGAGAAGGGAAAAAAAAGTATAAACAACTTCCCTTCTCTAATTATATGTTTCAGAGATCATTCCAGTGAGACCCATCACTATGGGACAAGTTGTCTGACACACCCACAGGAAAATATATGTGCACTGCTTCTTTTAATATACAACTACATGCAATTTAAGAACCTTCCACAAAATAATCACCAATTAGAATAACCTAAGTTGTATTTAATATATTATTATACTACATATATATAGATATATTTTTAATTACACAGGGCCTTTCTTGGAGGTGAAATTTAGTATCAATTATCTGACATAAATAGGTGAATAAAAACACTACTGGGTTTCTGCTTATCTTTGCACATTAAAAGAACTCAGAGTTATTTACATAAAAATAGTATTTTATCATTAAGCATTTCAAAAAAGATAGAAAATAGAACATTCATTATCTACTTTTGAATAGAGGAAGCCAAGGAAGAAAAAAGGCCACAGAGTAACTGGGGAAAAAAGAACTAGAATATAAAGAAAAAGCAGAAAACTGCTCGTATTCATTTTGCCATTATAAGAACATTAAAGATATCCATCAGAGTATGAGTCAAACTAAAATTTTCAATTATTCATGCGTATCACCATAAGACACATCCAAAGTAATAAACATATGGTGTTAACTTTTGGACTATACCAGGGGTGGAGAATGTCCAGTCCAAGGGCCGTGCAAGGCCTGAGAAATCATTTGGCCTGGCCCTGCAAGGCGTTGGGGGTGAGTTAATTAAATGTTTGACCAAATATAGCAGGCTAATTTTTAAGCTGATAATTTTCTATGGCCTATGGATGATGTTATAAATATCCAATGGTCCTTGGAAGAACAAAGATTCCCCACCCCTGCATTAGACTAATTATAAGTGATTTCTGATTTGAGTCATTCTTCTCCTCCCTTCTTGCTCATGAAAGTTCTAAAATCACCCTAGGAAAAAAATATGGAGAGAAAAGGTATAATACAATCTCAATTAATTAAGATATTTAGCAACTGGAAGTTTTACTATGGTTAAGTGCTCAAAAAAGAAAGATTTTTAAACTCATAAAAAAAAAATAAATTGTAAGAAATTGGTTTTCAACACAAATACATAAAAAGAAAGGGGGAAGCAAGGAGTATAAATATTAATCATCCTTAGCATGATTTTTTTCTGAAACTTTATTAGTAATAGTAATAGTAATGTGTAACTTATATGTATATATTTGGGCATGTGTGTGTGAACATGTATACAATCTATTGAGATAGATGTACATTACATCCCCATTTTATTTGGGTACATTTATCCTCAACCTATGGTATGGATCTAACCATCATAGAAAGCAGCTGGTTTCACAGCTTTGGATAATTTCATTGGTTATATTAAATTGAAATGTTTCTCATAATTTTCATTATTGGTCTTCATAGTTCAGGCCTCTTTTAACCTTCTCCAAGAAGCCCTTCAAACACCTAAAGCTATTTGAGTCTAGTCTTCTCTTGACTAAAAATCCCCAATCCCTTTAAATCTGAACCGGTTTACACAGCATGCCCTCTCTCCTGCATCCCTCCCTTGAACACTTGCTAGCTCAAGATCATTTTAAAACTGTGGTGCCCAGCAGACACACAAACACACAAACACACACACACACACACACACACACACACACAACCAGGAAAGGGGAAAAATGCTGTTCACACAGTTGTGGTCTACACAGAGAAAGCTCTATTAGTGCAAACTGAAGCTTGGCCCAATTTCCTATATCTTCAATACCAGAAAAATGTGATAGACTTTCAGAATAAGAACTCTGATTTATTACAGCACTGGTTTCTCAAACCATTTTCCATCCTAACACATGAGGAATATGACCACTCTCATAACAAACTGGACTCGCTAAAGGAAACAGAAAGGGGGGTGAAATGGTTGAAAAATTTTAATATACACATCAATTTGATTATTACTTTATTATAGATTTAAGTGTATAATGTTCACTATTCTAAAAACAGAAATATTGATTAAATTTTAAAACAACATAAAAAATAATGGAAACAAGAGGAATTTTATTAACATTCTAATGACAAAAAAGTATAGTTAGCCAGAAACCCATTATTGAGTTTTTGGTTTGGAAGTGAAATTAACAGTGACTTTGCATTAAAAGAATGAGTGTGTGACTGTTAAATTAACTGAGTCTTCAATATTAAAAATTACAATCTAAGCAAGTCTCCAGTTGCCTAGGCTCTTTTTTATCTTTCAATTCTTTTCTGCAATATGCCAACCCTTCCAAGAGTTTCACAATGCTTAGAGACCTGGTCTGTAAAAAAGGAAGACTCTCAAAACAAGACATACCTGAAAATTTTAAGACTGTACCTTAATAGCCATCTTAACTTGATAAATATATCCAGAGTACTAATCACCAGACATTTACTTTATATGTGATGGATGAACCATTGATCCAGAGAAGCAGCATTCCTTTTGTCTGTACCCTTTGCTATTACCGATTTCTTGTTACTGAATTCAAGGTCACTACCTATTTTCACCTTTTTACAAATTATCCTAGAGGTGCAATTATACTGTACTCACCTGAATCTGAATAGGAAGATTATCTTTGACTGTATTTAACAGGGTCTCTGTGGGTTTGTCTTTGCACATTAAAACCAGCTCCAAGTCCATGTCATCTTTAATCAGCAAGCCTTTTGCAACCAGGCCAATTCTCATTACACCACACAATGTCCGACCACCTTGATCCCTAAAAATAAAAGTCTGAATGATTACTTTTACAAACTATTTCCTGACTAAAACTTAATCATTGCTCAGTTTCTTGGATATCCATATTTTCTCATACCTAAATCTTTATTTTAAAATATATTTTACTGATTTCAGAGAGGAAGATGGAGAGATAAAAAAAAAAAAAAAAAAAAAAAAACAGCAATGATGTGAGAGAATCATTGATTGAATGCTTCCTGCACATCCCCTACTAGGGACTGAGCTTGCAACCGGGCATGTGCCCTCACCAGAATTTGAGCTGTGACCTCCTGGTTCATAGATCAACATTCAACCACTGAGTGGTCACACCTACCAGGCCCTCATACCTAAATTTTTGCTGAGATTTATTTTTTCTTCCACTTTCACTACTTATGTCAAATTCCCACCCATCTTATAAACCTACTGCATGCTACTTCCTTCACAAAGTTTTTTTCTGATCCCCAGAACCAACACATAATCTCTCCCTGCTCTGTACTTTCACATTTGTCACAGGAAGAGGCAAAGATGCTAAGAATACTGGATCTGGAGTTCAACAGACTTACATATGAATCCTGGCAACACCACACACACTCATTCAGTGACTTTAAGCAAGTTAAAGTTTGTTAACAATTCTGAGTCATTTGTTTTTAGTAAGCAAATAAGAAACAGTGAAAATATAAATGAAACGGTGGCGGAGGAGGAGGGTAATAATAGCAGAGACTAGTAAATTTACAACAATGTGGAAAGTAACTGTCATGTAATATAATGGTAGCTATTATTAACTAGCCATTATTAGCTCACTTATTAAATTCTATATCATAATTATGATATATTTGGTCCTCTCATGTAGAAGACAGCATGAATGAGAAGAAAAACCAATTCCTAATTCAATCCTGAAGTTGATAATGAATTTGAATATAGAAGGCATTATAAAGCAAGCAACCCAAATGCAGGGAATAGCTTAAGAACAGAATCCTAATATTCCTAATAATACCAATAATGGTATCTTGTGCAATTTGACTTTTGAGTCAGTTTGTAAAAAGGTAAAATAAAAACTGCCTGACAAGAGAAAGCTCTTAATAACCATCAGCTATCTTATGCCCTGTGTAGTGATACTCAACATATAACAGGAGCACAATACACATCTATTATCAAGAGCTTTGCTCTTGCCGAGACCGGTTTGGCTCAATGGATAGAGCGTCGGCTTGGGGACTGAAGGGTCCCAGGTTCGATTCCGGTCAAGGGCGTGTGCCCTGGTTGCAGGCATATCCCCAGTAGGGGGTGTGCAAGAGGCAGCTGATAGATGACTCTCTCTCATCGATGTTTCTAACTCTCTATCTCTCTCTCCCTTCCTCTCTGTACAAAATCAATAAAATATATTAAAAAAAAAATGTCCATACTACCAAAAACAATCTAAAGATTCAATGCAATCCCTTTAAAAAAAAAAAGAGCTTTGCTCTTGGGAGATGTGTCTGTCTGCCTCTGACTGATACAAAATAAGGACACAATCGTTCTGCACAACTGGGGTTCTACCATGTGGAAAGAAACCTAGCAAATGCTCAACCTGTGACTAGTCCACAAAATGGAAAACTTTACAGTCAAGAGCATCAACATAGGGAACTATATTGAAAAAATCCAAATGAATGTGTGGAGCACATTATCTTTTCAAAACCTGTAAAACAGCCCAGCTGGGGTGGCTCAGTGGTTGAGCGTCTACCCATGAACCAAGAGGTTCCTTATTCAAGTCCTGGTTAAGGCACAAGGCCAGGTTGTGGGCTCAATCCCCTGTAGGCAGCTGATAGATGTCTCTCATCTATGTTTCTATCTCTCTATCTCTCTCCCTTCTTCTCTAAAACCAATAAAAACATTAAATACACATCCTTTAAAACACAGCAACCTGATCCAGTTAAGCAAAAGTTTACTAGAGCACTTTCTAAAAGCCTACCCAGCCATGAGAACAGACTGAAGATGTATTAAGAAGGCATGAACTCCACTAAAAAAGGCAACCTCTTAAAAATGGTAAATATGGTGAGTTTTATATTATATATTTTGCAATTTTAAAAAAAGTTTAAAAGGGCATAACACATTCCAAAGTACAATGCAAATAGGAAGTGCATGTCTCATTGATTGGTTGCCTTCCTAACTTGAACAGGGACTGGGATATACAGAATTAGATTGTTAGCTAATATTACTAACTAGAGGCCCCATGCACTAAATTCGTGCAAGAGTAGGCCTTCCTTCCCCCAGCTGCCAGCATGGGTTTTCCTCTGGCACCTGGGACCTGGGCTTCCCTCGCAACCTCGACTTCGTCTGGAAGGACAGAAGGACGTCCAGAAGGATGGCTGTTCTAATTAGCATATTATGCTTTTATTATTATAAATTAACATGAACTCCAAATTTGAGTGACTTTTTTAAATCATCTTGTGAGAAAAACTGAATTACTGCCAAAACCTTGAAGTTGACAAGATTACAACTAGATACAATGTACATATTATCCATAAATCGTTAACAAAGTCAAGGAATTATGTTCAACTGAAACATGATAGTGATTATCTTTGATCTGAAAACGAAAAGGTTACATTACCTTTCAATTTATCAATACTTTTTTTACACTGTTATCTATCTATCACGATTCAGAATTAAAGCTGGAAAAAATTCTATAACCTCTATCCTCAATTTACAAGTTTTAGCCAAAGTAATGTTCTTAATCCTAGTTAATACAGTAGTTAAATTAGCTTCATCTTTCAGTCAATCATACACTTATTTCAGTCATAATAATGCTCAAAACAATAATTCTAAGCTTTTACATGACATGATCTGACTCCAGTTATCATCAGCTTCATCTCACTAATCTCTTACTATATTTTGTAAGAGATTAGTGAGATGAAGCTGATGATAACTGGAGATAGATAATGACATTTTTTCATGCCATGTAAAAAACAATTGTTTAAGGGTCTGGGTCCTGGTAGTCCTTGCATTTTACAAATATCCAATGAGCATTTACTATATGGAAAACACTGTGAATCAACGTGGTAGATACAGTTAAAAATACCTTTAAATACATTTTTCCTGCATCTTTCTTCTATACCAGAATTTTAAAATACCTGGCAAAAAATCACATTTTATGATTTCCTCAGAAACAAAAACACTACTATTTATGTCTGAATTTAGGAGGCTGAATCAAAACATGAAAAAGATGACATATAACCTCCAAAAAGAGAAGATTTTAAAGGGCTTGGTGCACTCTCAAAAAGCATCCTGCACAGGTCCCTCTTTTTCTGGTCTAATCACTCCTTTCTTGCTTTCCTTTCAAATTTAACTCAGAAAAATTCCACAAATACTTCCTTCCTTATCATATAAATAAGAAAACACAAAGGACACCATATGCCAAACCCAGTGGGATCAGACCCTGGGCTTTTCTGGGCACTACAGTCAAGTGCCACAAAGGTCAGGCCACACTCACTTGGCACAGGTGTCTGTGGCTTCATCCTTCTTCACTTCTGTCTCCCCCTCTGTTTTTGTGCCTTTGTTTGTTTCATCCAGCCAATCTGAGACATGTTTAAGAGCACATTCAACAGTAGACACCATATTCTGAACAGCTTCAAGTTCCTCTGGAGATGGATAGATTGTTGAATGTTTCACCATAACATGGCGATCATCATTGGCAAAAGATCTAATAGATCTCTGTCAGAAGGAGAAAGAAAACAATTAGCTCAATTAAAAAAAAAATGTTACCTGAAAAGGATGACAAACATATTTAAGTCAAGTCATAGTATTATTTGTCAAACCACTGTGAAATAGTTAATGCTAAGAAAGTAAAAAATTGCTCAGGAATAAGAAGGAAAACCCCATTCTACTGAACACACCAAAAAATTAGAGATCTTTCATTCATGTTTGGTATGGTTCACCCAGATCATATTTGGTATGATGTATATGCTAATTTTTAGCTGAATCTGTGTTTTCAATACCACTTTAGAAAAAGTCACCATATCACACATTATCTGCTAGAAACATACACTTCCTAGCTTCGAGAGAGTATCTGGAAATGCATGCTGTTGACTCATGATAATCAGTCTCTCCTTTCCAAACTGCTGGAGATTTCTGCACCTTGAAAAATTGAGATTTTTTTAATACAGTAGTAAAACAAAATACACCATTATATATGAACTAAAGACACATTAGAATACTATTTACTGTTTGTCATTTAAAACTTTAGTGCAAGGCTTTAATCCTTAAAAAAGATTGGCATGGGACATTCCAAATTCCAGAACAAGAAAAATACATACAGGGTGGGGCAAAGTAGTTTTACAATTGTTAAGTATATAAAACAGAAATTATTCTGGAATTATTATTTATTAATTATTGTATTATTTTCCATATAAACAGTTGTAAACCTACTTTTTCTCCACCCTATATTGCTAAAGAAATCAACTTCCCAAACTAATTTACAAATATATTACGTTCTCAATCAAAATACCCTAAGGATAGGGTATTAATACTGAACATAATTTTATAGCTCTTTTGAGGAGGAAAAAAAAATCCATGAAAGTAAGAAATATTCTACAACAATGGATCGGTGGCGCCACTGAGCTAAAACAAAATATCAAAAATTTAAAAAGCAATAATTAAAATGGCTGGTCCAAAAGTCAGTAATACAGATTAAAGCCTAGAAATAGGATGAATTTCATGAAAATATAATACAGTAGATCCTTCACATTCAAAAGTCACACATCAAAAACCTTTGAATATTTCCAAATTTACAAATACCATGAAGACACTTGTACTAATGCAAAGCAAAACGAACCAGGATAACTTGCTGAGTTTTCATAAAGCCAAAAGTATTCTTTTTTTTTTTTTTTTTTAAGGATGGCTACAGTGTACTTACATGAAATTATGCACTAGTAGGTGGTAAATATTTGCTTTAAAGTCTTTACCTCAAAATAAAAGATTCACAATTTTATCAGTTTTCTTTGTTTTTATATTAATATTTTTTTTAAAATCTTTTTACACAAATCTTTGAAACCTTGTTGTTAAAATTTAAAAAAAGGATTAAAAGCAATCACAGAAGCTTTCTTCATTCTAGATTAAAAAAAAATCATGTCTATTTAGATGTCTTTCTTAAAGTCCACAATCAGTCTCCAACTAGAGTTTCTTTTGCAACTTTTTAGTCAATTCATGAGATTTATTCATATATCCCAAATTAAGTAACAAGGAAATAAAAAAGCCATATAACGAATGAGAAAATGCTAGGTTGTTCTAGGGATTACAAGGTAGTTGAGTTGCTCTTTAGAGAAGAAATTCTATTAAAACATTTTTGTTCTGGATAGGAAAAAATGCTAACTTTGGATTTTCTCCGTCATTTAGTTTTATGGTGATTTACTAAATTATTTAGATATCTGAGTCCTACACACTGGCCTCACCATAGTAAAATTAGATTGCTATGTAACACAAATCCTTGGTTGTCTCTCAAAAATAACATAGACTGCCCATGTTAAGACCAAGAGTCAACAGAATGTAATAGGACAAACATCATAAAATAATGGTGAGTTAAATAAACAATATGGGGAAAAAAATTGGAAAGTGATCTTATTTACACAAATAAACACCAAATAGATTTTTAAAGTATTAAAAAATTAAATTGAAAGATCTATGCAGAAATAGAAAGTTCTTATTCAAATTTGAGATATAACAACAGAAGAAACTAAAAACCTACCAACCAATTAAATTATATAAAAACACAAAATTTCTACACCAGAAAATCTAAGCTAAATTTAAAATAAACTAGAACAAAGTTTTTCATCAACTAGGACCAATAATATATATAAAGCATTTCTTTAAACTGTTAAGAATATCAAGACCATAATAGATGAGCTGAAGTGTTGAATAAGTCACATGGGAGGAAACACAAGTCGTGTCATTTTTTACATTTCACCATAAAACTAGAGAAAATCCCAAGTCAACATTTTCCCCATCATCCACACAAGTCAGTGTCATTTTTTACATTTCACCATAAAACTAGAGAAAATCCCAAGTCAACATTTTCCCCATCATCCACAACTAAAATATTAGAATTCCTTCTCTAAAGAGCAATTCAACTAAGTTATAATTCCTACAACTTTTTAAAAAATCAAACAAACACTATCAGATTTACTAAACAACATATTTCAAACATACTGATGATTAGTATTTTTGTGTTTTTTCCCTCACTTAACTTTTTTAAACCTTTTCTCAGACACTAAAGGGGAAAAATTCACACATCCTCCTGAAACAAAATAGTAGGTGGAAATAACCCAGAACATTTTACCAATTAAAAAACTGGGCATCAGAGGTTATGACCTTATCTAACATCTCAAATTCAAAAGTATGAACTTTCCACAGAAAACAAGATTTCCTTGATATTCAGTTTAGTATCCCCAATACATTTAAGAGTTGACCTTATTATTTTAAAAGCATGTGGGAAAAGGTGGCTTTTTTGAGTTAAATACACATCTTATACACATTCAAATTTTTATTTCCATGGGGAAAAACAACTGAATTCAAAGAAAATTACACAACTTCAAGTTCAAGGTCACATTAGCTACTTGTATGTTTGCTAATGCCAGTTTTATTAGAAAATATTATTTATGAACATTCCCTCCTTTGTACTTAATAATTTATAGTCTGTAGGCTCATGGGGCTCCATCTTGTGGTTTAAAGAGTTCATAATAAATCTGAACTCATTTCTTTGCCTAAATGGTAGAGTGCCTTCTTTATCTGTGCACTAGAGCCAAAACTTAACACCATTGTTTTTCACTTGCCTTCCTGTTAATATTTCCAATTCTAAACTATTGAAATCTTTTATAACTTAATTAAGAAACATAAATAACCTACCATGGTTTTCTACAGTGTTTTAGCTTCTTTTTCCGATCCTTTCCCCTCTTTCTTGTTGTCTTCACCAGACACTGTTTTATGTGACAGTACCTCCTCATAAGCCTGAGTCCCCTGACAACTCAGAGTCAATACGGCAAAGGTTTGAAGACTGCTCTCTGAATTACACCTGCAAGAGAAAATAAAACCAACTTTTCAAAAATGCTTATTTACTATCAGTTTCATATCTAAGTGTGGAGCCTATAGGCATGTTATCGACGAAAAAGAAACAATCTTTACAACAGAAACTACTTCATTGCAAACAAAAAGCTAAAACAGCCTTTGAAGGCCTGGGCCCATGAAAGAGGGAGTCTAAGTTGCCAGAAAAGCAACCCCTTCCTTCCTGGTAGACATAATGGTTTGGCAGCTAGCTGACTTGCTTTCAATGAGATAAAGATATTAACAAACACAGTACCACCAACTAAAAAAAAGTAATACGGTAAAATGAAAAAAAAATAAAATAAATAAATAAATAAATAAATAAAAAGTAATACGGTAGTACTATTGTTGGCAACAATGGTGCAATTAACTTTGATATTTTTCTATTGGAAATGCATTAATCAGACCTATCCAAAAAGTAGATAAGACACCTGAAAATATACCACCACCAATTGTAACCATGAGCCTTTTCAATTCGATACAACCACAAGACAGACAGCATATGTTTTTCCTTTAATGGTTTTAAGGCCAAAAATTCGATTTTTTTGGGGGGGTGGGGGGGGGCTCTGATCTCCAGAGAGATCCTACTTCCCCCTCAACCTTTTATGCTCTGATATATGAGATTCCTGAATATCCACTAAATCCTGTCTTCATTACCCATGGATGACTCTAGCTAGGAATCCCACTGTATATTTCTGCCCAGAGGCCTCATCCCTTTGTTTCACCTTTAGGAGATTTTATTCCAGATAGGGTAAAAATTAACTCTTCTGAGCACTGATGAAATGCTTATCTATACTAATAAAACAGTAATATGCTAATTAGTCTGGGAGACCTTCCGGACAAAGCCATGGTGGTGGGGCTGAAGCAGAGACAGTTAGGGGCGATCAGGCTGGCAAGGGAGGGCTGTTGGAGGGGAATCAGACTGGTGGGGGGGCAGTAGGGGGGCAAGCAGGCTGGTGGGGGAGGAGGACAGTTGGGAGTGAGCAGGCCAGCAAGGGGTTGGGGCAGACTGGCAGGCAGAATAGTTAGGGACGATCAGGCAATCAGGCAGGCAGTTAGGTGAGCGGTTAGGAGCCAGTGGTCCTGAATTGTGAAAGGGATGTCCAACTCCCGATTTAGGCCTAATCCGGCAGTTGCACATCACCTAAAGGGGTCCCAGACTGGAGAGAGTGCAGGCCGGGTTGAGGGACACTCCCAACCCCATACACAAATTTCGTACATGATTATAATCAAACTAGAGGTCTGATACACAAATTTGTGCAAGAGTAGGCCTTCCTTCCTCCGGCTGTGTCACTGGCTTCTCTCTGGACCCGGGACTCCGGCTTCCCTCACAGCCCTAGCTTTGTCCAGAAGATTGTCCAGAAGGATGTCTGATCTAATCAGCATTTTATACTTTCATTATTATAGATGATACTCAGCTGTGATCTACATGCAAAACTATTCATAACCTGTAACCAACTTCCCTGACTCTGGTTTACAAAACCCACCAGAAAAAGCTAATGAGGCTTAACTAAAACAAACAAAAAGGTTATGTAGGTGAACAAATGGAACTTACTTTGATTATGTATATATATCACTTTAAGGTAAAGCGGAAACATGCTGCAACTCACAGGGTCCTTTTACACAACAAAGAAACTAAAACTTGATCCCATGGTATCATCTCAAAAGATTCTTTTGTCACTAAAATCATACCTTCTGCAGAAAGACTGTACTACACAATTTAGAATCTTTGGCATTTCCCTTTCCAAACCCTATTCCATGCTAGAGGATTCAATATTAGCTGTGAATCCAACAACCAAAAAAGAATGCTATGTGCTCAGTTGAGAACTGAAAACAGTCCACACAAGCTGCACTCTGTAAAAAGGTAAAGGCAATAAATCAATCAACCATATTAAGAAAGTAGATTGAAAGTAGAAAAAGCAGGAAGAATGCTAAGAAAACGCTGAGTTAGGCTGTGGATGGCCAATATAAAAGTACAGCACTCCTCAGGCATTTAGCACAGAGATGAACCACCCTATATATGCATCAAGAAGTTCTGGGAACTGCAGGGTGTTATACAGAATAGTGCAGGAATTCATGATAAAGCAGTGCATCTCAATCATATTTTGCGGGTGCTGTAAAAAAAAAACTAAGAAATCATCTGGCCCAATTCCACCTACCCTCAGTTTACAAATGAACTACAATCAGAAACATTAAGGTCACATGACTAATCAGGAATAAGGCTTGGTTCAGCACCTAAATAAAGCCCAATGCTTTTCCCCTACCATATCAATCTGAGAAAAAAAGTTAAATTATATACAGTAGACTAAGCAGATGGGAAGAAACTACAACATATTTTTAATTTTTTTTCTATTGTTTAAAATATTACATATGTCTCCTTTCCCCCCAATTGACACCCCTCACCCCAGCTGCTCTCACCCCACCACCCCAGTAAAGAGTTTCTCTTTTTTTTAAATGGATAAAATTATCTCCTTCAGATAAAAAAAATAAATTTGCCATTTAATAGCTATTGTGACCTTGGAAAATTATATGACTCAGAAAACCACTTAATTTACTTGGGTCTCAGTTTCCTCTATTTATTCCACTACTGACAGCTAACAATTATGGAACTCATATTTTGTACCAGGCACTGTTCTAAGAGTTTTTCACACATTACCTCATTTAATCCTTATAACAATCTCAAGAACTGTCTCTAATATCAAGGAAACTAGAGCATTGAGGTCATATAATCAAAATCACAAAGTACAATAGAACCCAGGTTCAAACCTAGACAATCCCTTTCAATAATAATTTGGCTCTAAAGACACATTTGTTAGAGGATAAACATTAGCTATTTCAAAAAATATTGCTATTAATTACGAAGGCCATATAGCTGCACGCACACACAGGCTTTGGCGTCAGACATCCCTAGATTCAAGTACAGGTATACCTCATTTTACTGCACTTGGCTTTATTTCTCTTCGCAGATACTGCCATTTTAAAAACTGAAGATCCTCCACCAGCAGAGAGATTGTAACTCACTTTATTGTGATACTTACTTTACTGCAGTGGTTTGGAATTGAATCCGCAATTCCTGAGGTATGCCTATACCAGCTTGGCCATTCCACTTCTTTGAGCCAGAGCTTTCTCACCTGTGCAATAAGGTGAATAGTATCTACTTCAAACTAAATGAAATTGGTCCTAAAAATACTAAAAGTATCTGCCAAATAGTGTACACTCAATAAATGGCTTCAGGGGAGAAGAAAACCCTCAAATATCAAATAACATATTTTATTTATACATCAGAAACAGTTGAAAAACACCTTAGATAAATATTAGCTGTGCTCTACCTGTTAAATTAAGAGTATTTTATACAGGATGCTGAATGTATATGTATAGGCATTTGTGTACATGTATATGGTTTTTTTAAATCAAGTACTGTTTTCTTAACAAACATTTTTTAAAGAACAGGTTTACAGGGAAAAAAGAGTGGAAAGTAGAGAGAATCTCATGTTCCCATTCTCCCACCACACAAACACCTTCCCTATTAATATCTTGCATTAAGTGTGGTCCATTTGTTATTATTAACGAGCAAATGTTAATTCAATATTAACTAAAGTCCATAGTTTACTTGGGGTTCATGCTTTATGCTGCACATTCTACAGTTTTGACAAACGCTTAAGGACATATATCCACCATTACTGAATCATACAGAACGGTTTCATGGCCCTAAAAAATCCTGTGCTCCACCTATTCAACCCCCTTCTTCCAAAAAATCATATAGCTTAAGTATGCAGTCCTTTCAGATTGGCTTTTTACACTTAGCAATATGCATTTAAGATCACTCCATGTCACTTTTTGAAATCACTGAATAGTCGTCCGTTGTCTGGATGTACCACAGTTTATCCATTCACCTACTGAAGGGTGTCTTGTTGCTTCCAAGTTTTGGCAGTAATGAATAAAACTGCTATTAATATTCGTGTGCACGTTTTTGTATAGACATGTTTTCAACCCATTTGGGCATGAACACGGAATCATATGGTAGGACTATGTCTAGCTTTATAAAAAACATCCAGACTGTCTTTCATCCAAAATGGCTATGCTATTTTGCATTCCCACCAGCAATGAATGAGAGTTCCTGTTGCTCCACATCTTCACAGCATATGTTGGTGTCAAAGTTTTAGACTTGAGTCATTCTAATAGATATGTAATAGTATCTCATTGTTGTTTTAGTTTGAAATTCCCTGATGACAGATGATGTGGAGCATCTTTTCATAAACCTATTTGCCATCTGCATATCTTCTCTAGTGAGGTATCTGTTCATATCTTCTAACACTTTTTAATTGGATTGTTTGTTTTCTTGCTGTTTAGTTTTAAGAATTCTTTGAATATTTTGGATACCAGTCCTTTATGAGATATGTGTTTTGCAAAGATTTTCTCCCTATCTCTGACTTGCCTTGTCATCCTCTTAACAGTGTATCTCATCTTTAATAAGCAAAAGTTTTATATATCCCCCAACTTATCAACTTTTTTTTTTTTTTCATGAATCACACTTTTGGTAGTGTTGTATATCTTTTGCAACTGACCTTAAAAGGTGAAAAGTTTAGCCAAGACCAATTTGGCTCAGTGGATAGAGCATCAGCCTGCAAACTCAAGGGTCCCAGGTTAGATTCCGGTCAAGGGCATGTACCTTGGTTGTGGGCACATCCCCAGTGGGAGGTGTGCAGGAGGCAGCTGATCAATGTTTCTCATCGATGTTTCTAACTTTCTATCCCTCTCCCTTCCTTTCTATAAAAAAATCAATATATATATTAAAAAAAAAAAAAAAAAAGGTGAAAGGTTTTAGATGTCAGGCTACCAGACTGCAAAGCTAGGTTTTTGAATGTATGAACATTAGACCCTTTTCCTAGGAGCAAATCTCAAAACTGAAGAATGATTATGCTGTCTATATTCAAACTATAAAACTTAGTCAAATATTTGGAAAAATTTTTG